AGTCCAGGTCTTCAACCAGCATTAATATTTTGCCAAGGATGTAGATCTTGAATGTTTCATGTTTAACCAAGTGAGGCGGTGAACCAGGCCAATGGCTTTACCATTCCAGTTATTTCCTGCTGCAAACAAATACCAATACATGGGGAAATACAAAAATGGGATAGTAATTTGTTTCAACGTCTGTTATTTAGATTTCTAGGATTTTTTTTATTGTGTGTTAATTTTTAACTGTGATAAATAAGAGTGATTGAAGTTTATCTGCAGGTTATTTTGTGGTCAAAGAGAGGACACTTAATTTAATGCATCTCAGCTATAGTGTCATTTGTTTCAAAGATTGAAGATATAATTTGAAATTAAGGCCTCTGAAGTTTTCTCTGCTGTAGCCAAGGTATTTGAATAACTTATTCCATAAGAAGATAATAAGTCAAGGTTATTGAACAGAAAATACGTCTGTATCACTCAGTGTGGTTTGCCAGTTTAAAGGAAGTAATGATAATAGAACATTTTGAAATAATGAGCATTGAATTGAGCAGTAAAATTTCATTATATTATTTTTGCTCAGTGTTGTTGTCATTCTTGCTGCAGAACTTATGCAGTCCCTGCAGTGATAAATGGAGATCTATGTTGTTATTTTTTGTTGATAAATGTCTTCAGAAACGGGTAATATTTCTTAGAAATAGTTACAATTTTTGAAATATTGCATGTGAAAAAAGACATTTCTGACTGTTTATAACTTCAGTTTTGTTTGAACAGTAAGGTTAACCAAAGTAGGCATATGGTGCCCTTTTAGAATATTTCATTTTGTCCAGAATTACTATGTAATATTTTTAGAACTAACCCTGATACTCAAGTTGACATCTCCATACATTTTCATATATACTTGGCCTATGGTAGCTTTTAATTCTGATTATTTTCAGCTGATATATATTTTCATCAGGAAGTTAAATAACAATACTTGTTATTTTGAAAACTAGAATGTTGCCAACCCTAAATATATACACGTCTAATGGATGTTTATGTGAATATATTTTTATACATGTATAATCGGCCATCTCCCTTCCTGACACAGGATGTTTCCCACATAGGAAACAGCTTGTTACAGGGCAGCAACAGCCATTATTGTCATACTTCTACACTTTAATGACTTTAAATTGGTATTAATTAGCTTTGTAAGGTCATACTTTCAATTTGAGTTACTGTTGTGACAACAGGGTGGGCAGTTAAAAACACGTTCTGGTAGTTACATTTTATGACACTTACTGGGCTTGCTAGACAGAGAGCTATGACATAAAGCAAAAATCTGGGCTTGTTTGGTAGAAGATACGTGGTCAGCATGAAAGGGAAGTTTGATTTCATGAAACAAAAACACTTCTAGGAGAAGACTTGTGTATATTATTTCCAAACAAGCCAGTTTTTTTCACCAGCTCTGCCTTCAACCCACACAGTTGGTTCTGTTGCCTATTTTCACAGCTGTAAACATTTCTGTGAGATTACTGGCCGCAAACAGGAACATTTACCTGGGGCCTCATTGCTAGCCTTTACCAAGGTAGGCAGGCAACAGGCAGCACACCTCAATGTGTTTATCTCCTGTGCGAGGCCTTGGCGTAATCTAATTCTGGAGCAGCAGCGTTGGAAACTAAACTGCAGCAATAACCCGTGCCTTGTACCTGGTCTCTTCATATCCTTCTGGTCATCCTGGGCAGTAGTGGTAGAGGAAGGTGAACCTGGACATAACCTGGACATAAGGGAGATTAACTGGACTTTTACAGAAACAAACCTTTCACTGAGGGGGGTTGGAGATACGAGGACCATGTTCCTGTGTGTGTCAGACCAACGGCAGAAAGCCGCTAAGAAGGTAAAGGAAAAATAAACGTGGCAAATGATGAGATAGGGCAGGACAGGAAGGCATGTTACCTGTAGTGTAGAATACAGAGATAGTAGAGAGGAGATCGAGTTTCACAGCTCGGTACATCTGCTTTGGTGAACAAACTTCCCGCTGTTGGAGCTGGACAGGATTAAAAATCGTTCCTAGGAAATTAAAGGGAGATTAGATAGTGGGATAATTCTTAGACTAACACATTTGTGCTCCAAGTAAAGGCCATCAAGTTCATATCAATGAATAGGGTTGTGGACCTTTGCTTCAGTGAGTCACTTCACCATTGTTTGGAGGTTGGGTTAAATAACATTATATACAATGAGTGGTATTCTTTTTCTCTCTTTTCGATTTTGAGCCGCTTGATGTTTACATTGGGGCACATAATTAAAGAAATTGTATTGACTGATTACTTTCAGAGTCAACAGTTTGTAAGCAGTGATCCTAACATATTTAATCTGAAATGTGTCACTGGCTAAATATTTACTGAGTATGCCATTCATCTGCATTTAGATTGGATCATGTTTAGAATACAGAATTCGGTTCATTTTCTATCATCAAGTTAGACAGTAGCAGTGGCACCAAGAAACAGTTAACAGTATGTAGGAAAGATCATTCCAAAGTCTTGTAGTAAGAAAGGACTTGATGCAGGAAAAATGAGTTATATCGACCAGAGACATACCATATTTTTCCAGTAGGTATACAACTTTTTTGATTACAAAAATACTGTAAAATGCTTAGATTATCCTTCAAAGTGTGACATATGGCAATATTGAAAATGACCATAGTTTTATGTGTGATTTATCTCAGTCATTACATCTGCCAGGTTTCTGTGAAGTAGTCTCCTGTAGATAAACAGCCCAGACAGCCAGGTGTCGTGGCTGGGATCTCTTCTGGTAATCAGAGTCATAACACTGGTCTGTTAGCCTAAGAAGTTATAAAGAGAATCTCTTTATAACTTCTTGGTTAGCCTAGCTGGTATCTGTTCTGGTAACACAGAGTCATAATACTGGTCTGATAGTATCATCTTCTACAGGAATCTGTGTCCTGTTAACTTTCAGCTCTGTCATGGCGATGTTATGTTACCAATCTCTGTATGTTAGACTGTATCCTGTGACAAGTTTATAGCTAGTTGTGCTGCACCACCTTAAAAAGAGTTCTGAAGTTGATTGTATGGCCCTTTATAGAGATCCATTATGGTGTATGAAGAATGGTGACTTGCAGGTGAGTTTTTTTGCTCAGTGGTAGGAGTGGTTTGCATGGTCTTAGTGGAATCTGTACTGCTTTTTAACGGCCTATGTGGATGAACTGTTACCCAAATTATTACCGTATGCTACAATTTTCTTCCTAATACAATATATTTGGAGGTCCTTGCATGGTCTTTTGCCTTATGATGTTATGCAGTCATGGAGGAGTGAATAAAATGAGTCAACTGAAAAGACTAGGGGGTATTAACATGTAAACCAATGACCTGAAAACCCGGGGAAGGCCTGTTGTACAGTTGTGATGAGATATGGTAGGCAATTATTCAGTGACATTTGAGGTCTGGATACCTGACACTGAAGTCTTCAGATTCTGTTTCCCCATACCTTCACACAGCACATGTGTGGCTGGAGTCATTAGGACTGATGTGCCAGGGGGGTTCCCGTGCCCACTCTCACATGCTAATTGTTTTGTTTGTTAGGGTTTGAAAATTATTTCTTTTCTTGAAAATGGAAATGGGAGAGAAGGGTTGCAGTGTCTTTGGTGCATTTGTCATTGATAACTGATTGTTTTAGGTGAAATGTTTTAGACAATATTTTAAGACATAGATGATTGTAGAACATTGGATTTTGTTGCACCCTTTGCTGGTGCCAAGAATACCCTGGAGGAAAAAAAGGAACCAGATGAAAATGAGGTTTGCTGTTTCCAATTTCTAACAAGTAAATTTCTCTCTTTCTGTCAGCCAAGATGATGTGAACTAAATAAATCCCATGGCAATGTTTATATGTTACTGGATTTCAGTTGTTTTTTTTACTGGGTTGTGACCTTGCCATGGCAGGTGTAACATGAGACAAAAATTGCTCTTTCATCTGATTCAGAAAATGACTTGCACTAACCTAACCTTGTAATGTGTCCAGGTGAAATTAACTAACCACATAAAACTTTTTTTACTGTACCCTGGTTTATAGGGGTTTTAATGCCGTCTGGGTATTAGGGGTTATTTACATTAATTGTGCTATAGACCTCTGCCATGCATGTTGAAGGCAACTTGGGCACTTGCTGAAAGTTGGGAATGGGATAGAGAAAGACAGAGTTTGGATCTCTGGCTTACTGGTGTCACTTTTTGATGGCTGATTGGAAGATTTTTAATGATTTGTTTTATTGTCCATGGAATATCCACATAAATACCATTTGTTTGTTTATACACAAACAAGGATTAGCTTTTAAGACAGACTTATTTAGTTTATCAGTTCAGTTGTTTATCGTAAGAAGTACATAGATAGATTTGACTGGACTTCAATAGTTGTCATGTATTTTGTTTATTTTATAGCCTGCAAAATTATGTCGTAGAAATATTCCGTTATCGGACTTGAGATCAGGCACCATGATTATAATTGCCTGCCCTGTCACAGGTGCTGTTAATTGCCCTAATTAACTGTCTAAGTTTACATGTATGTCAACTTGGTCAGGTAGAGGCCAGCGTGCTGCTATGCGGTGCCAGGTTAACGTTGGCAGTGTACTGAGCTATCATATGCTGAGAGGAGGATAGTATTATCAGGGGTGTGAAGAAATGCTAATGTTTTGACTGAGCTCCAGTATGTGATACACTGTGAGTGCTGCAACTAGATCCCAAGTTCAGGAAGCTGATGTACATTCCACTAAAAGCTATTTTAGCTGACCACAGGCTATTCTTAGTCATAGGAAAAGAGATGGAGAGAGTGACCAACTGACCTTCGTATTTATTGAGGTTCAAGTGTCTTGGTCACTGAAGTGGACAAAATATTGTGAATTATAAAAAAAAGACATAGGCTGTCCATCTAGGCTGAGGAAGACCACAGTATCACTGTGTACCACTGTCTCCACAGTGACAGGTGAAAAACTTCACAAGTGAGGTGTGCTGACGCAGCTCTGTTTTTCTTTTCAGTGTGGCGTGGATGTAAATCGGCCCAACTCCTATGACCAGTCAGCCCTGGACATTGTTAACAAGTTCACCACATCCAGAGCTGCCAAGGAGCTAAAACAACTGCTGAAAGGTAAGAGACAGAAATTGAGCTCGTAAAAAAATAATTGAAACAAACAAAAGAATGTCCCGATCTGTGCTTTCCTGGAGGAGACTGTTTGTGTAGGAGATGTTTTTGGGTCACTCAGCAGGTCCTAGTTTTCCATGTTGTACTGAACATAAAAGTTATCCTCAACTTGGCAAAATAATTTGTGGCACTCCCACAGTCACTCACTGAATCTAACTAGGCTTGAAAGATGTCTGCCCAGCCCATCATTAGTAGCAATGTCACATTGCAGGGCAATAGTTAATGGCAAAGAATAGCCTGAACACTGATTTGTTGTAGTTGGACCGTCCAAGCAGAATTATAATGAGGCATGTGGATGTTGTTCAATGGCCACAGTTATGAATTACTTGGATTTTCTCATTGACCAGCAGGATTTTTATTTAAAAAATCCAAATTTGCCTTGCTCTAATTCTACCTCACACAGTTTTTTTTACCTCACTGAAAAAGAATACTTTGACAGCTATCTTTAGCAGCAATTAGACCCTGCCAGTGTGTCGAAAATGATTTGATAACTAATTCAAAACCTATAAGAACCACAGTGCCTGGTGTAGTGTAATAACAGAGCATGTGTGAAGAAGTCAACAGTAGGTGGCCAGCCTGGCACACTGTATACACTGTGGTCTTCAGGGAGACTTTCTAGTGCAACTCACAGCTGGAATAACCTGGTCTGAGATGGGTTCTTTAGTGCTTTGGATATTGTATTTATTCCAGGGATGGCAGTTGTGTATAAATATATGTAGAAAAGCGTATTTTAATCAAATGAATGGGTATAAATATAATGAAGATGGAGTTGTGAGAGATTATTGATATGTCACTAATGGAGGTAAATCAGCCAAGTTGACATTTATGAACTAAGTTACTGATATCAATTGACATGCGAGTTAGGTAGAGCGTGGTTTGCTTGGTAAATTATTTTATCAGAACACGTCCAGTCATTTAGAAAAGAGTCCTAAGAAGTAATTTGTGGTTACAGAAAGAAAAGATGAACAAGATTTACCAACAAAAGGTATACAATATAAATGGGTTTATTTATGCTTTTAAAACTTGTATTTTAAAGAGAGTTGCTTCCTTAAATTGCCCCTTACGGCAACCTGACCCCAGACAAGGTGCGTTAGGCACTCTCACATGATTACAATACCTCCATGACAAGGATGATGCAGCAAATATTCATTCATCTCTCGGCGAGTAAGAGTAAGGTTATTATAGTTTCCTGAAAGAAAAGAATTGGGGCATCCTTTATTTACAAGAAAAAAAAACAGTGTTCCTGTCTTGGCATAAATGGTATTATATCTGTAAGCGAGTCCCCCACTGGGATGTTCATAGCTCCACCCTTGGCTTTGGTACAGCGAGGAACGTGTCTTCATAACATTGACATTGGGGATTTTTTTATTGTTATTACCCGTTTTTTGGCAGCAGAATGGGGTTTTGCATATCAGAAATCTGTTCTTCTCAGCAGTCTATGAGAAGAGGCTTTTAAATTGCATGATCACAAAGAAAACAGGCTGTTACTCTCGCCCATCTGTTGCAGGCTATTTCAAGATAATTCTGACGCAACAGGATGAGTGAGAAACATCAGATTTAACGATCAACCCCTTTATTTTGTAAAACTTGGAAAATTTCCCTGCTAATTGAATTTAGTAATGCAGTTAGGTAGAAAACTTTGATATCTCCTTGCTGATGTTTGTGGAAGTTTTTTTTTAGGTAAGGTAAGACAAATAGAAAATGAAATGATGTGGGGCACAGATCCAGTTATAAAACTGAGTTGTATTTTCTCAGATGTCCTGTTTGGTTCATTAGTGAATGCAGCATGTATTGGTTGCATCCCTTCTCAAATTTTTGTTTGAATCTCTTAGATTTTAGAATACACAGCTTTTGGATGTTTAAATTTGTTAACTATATACATAACCTTGGTATTCAGACTCACCATTCTTTGGCTTAAGAATGGGTGTTAAATTTGACTGTAAACATACCTCAAAATGAATAAGGAAAAAAAAAGAGAATCATCTTCACGCCCAAGTTTAAACTGAATTCATATCTTTATTTGTGGTGTTCTTGTTTCAGAAGCAAGCTGTGCAGTCCAAGCCTGTGCTATCAAAGATTACAGCAATATATATGACCCAAACAGTCTCTCCTTCAGAGAGGGGGATTACATTACAGTAAGTTTTTCATGATCTGTAGAAACAAGTTGCAAATCTTTTGAGATATGAATATAACTTTAAAAATGAAAAAAAAAGATAAAATTTTTTTTTTAATTAATGTATGTTAAAAATGATAGATATAACGTTTAATGATATGTATTATTTAACAGCAAAATTTCTTTTAATTTTTGCAATATATTCAATTTTTCCAGTCGACCATCTTTTTTTTTTTCCTGTAGATAAGTTTTGTCATGAGAAGTTCTATACTACCTGCCTTCATAAGGTCTGATAGGTTTAGTTAATCCATCTGTATTATTTATCCAGATGTCTTTTTCAAAGGTATTTAGGGGTGTAGACCTCTTTGTAGAATTTTGAAACTAGAGATTTATAATGATGACTGGAATATAAAGCCAGCCTTGTCCCAGCTGTAGGTACAAACCAGTTAATATTACAAATACTAGCAGGTTTGCACCAGTATTTGCAATTGTCAAAGCAAAACTCAAAAACTGTAATAAAAAGACTGTGTACATGTTGCTAAGTTGGTGTGTCCTATTGAAGTGATGACTGTAATCCAGGATGGATAATTTAGATCTATGTAATGTTGGAATGCAATTTACCTTCCAGTTAGGTTATGTACAGGTGCTATTTTACCAGTTTCTCCAGTGTCACCACTGATGATGTGCTCTTTGTAGGCCTTGCTGTTAATAGAGTTTTTCATAAAAAGAATATTTTCATTATACCTGAGAGAGAGAGAGAGAGAGAGAGAGAGAGAGAGAGAGAGAGAGTGAGTTTGTGTGTGTGTGTGTGAGCTTATTTTCTGCTTTAAGTTGCCAGGTGTTACTGTCTCAGGATTGTCTTCTTGTTTATCTTGCTTGTTTTGTGAATTACAGCAAAATTGCCTGCCCCTGCTTGGGTCATTATACACACCAACACAAACCCACCCCCTACTGCCAGTGTTGATGCACATGGTTAAGATTTTCTGGGGGGTGAAATATGTCAGGGACTTGAAACCCCTGAATCCGACTGCTTCTCTTTAGGTTGACTTGGGAATATGGTACAGATTTAAATGTGGAACTCCCCTCAGATGTACTGTGTAACTTTGGAAGAATTACATTGTTACATTTTATTTGCTGAATTATTTCCGCGTGGTAGAATGTATGTATTTTACACAGTGAAGCATGAGAAACAATACAGTTTATTTTCAAATGCCATGTGCCTGAAAATAAAAAAAGTATGTGCAGCTCTGATGAGTTGTCAGATAGCAAAAAACTATTTATTCTTCACAGTTTTTTCCCTAAATCAAAGAGAACTCCAAAAGAAAGTGAGGATATTTAGAGTTCCCTTTTCACCTTCATGTTGGTTGAAATTTTCAAAAAGGGCTTCCTGCCTGGCATATTTATTGCATACAGATTTAATGTTTGCTGATTTTCTTTTCCGTCTTAACGCAGTATGTGATCAAAAGATTGTGCTTGACTAACTGGGGTAAGGCCGTCAACATTGAGGAAGAAAAGCTGGCACCTTTTTTATTTTTGAAAGATTTTACCTTTACAAAGTTAAACAAATACTGTCTTTTCTAGGCTTATGATAATAGTGTTCATTCACACAAAATCAGGCCTGAAAGAGGTGATGTAACAAACAGTTTTAGGAACACAGGCTTCAGACATAAGCCTGTAAGAGGTGATATCAGCATACGTTTTAGTCTGCAGATATTTGCCTGTCATACATGTTCCATCTCACGACTCACCTGGGAGAATGAGAGATGGAACCCCCTTTAAATCAGATTTTATGAAGATTGATATCAAGTGCTGGTTTGAGTGTCCTCAGCTAGAATTGCACCTGCACAGGTGTGCTGTATTGTCACCTTAGACAACATGGGCGGTTGGAATTCCAACATGGGATTGAAATGACAGAAATGTCTGCCTATGTCATAGTGCTGTTGACACGGGTGAAGTGGATATTTCCCCATTTTTTCCCCCTCCTCTCTTCTTCCATTTCCTACCCATCTTCTATGGTTTGCCTAGATAAGAGAGTATTTATCTGACTTCGGATTAATTTTCTCTTGAAGGTACAAATGTGTCTGTGGGTTTACTGATCACTGGAGTATGTCCTTTGATGTTGTATGTTCTCTTTCTTATGGCTGATTTGAAGTGCTTCATAGAACTGTCAGATATTAAGACATGACCATGATAGCACATGATAATTGTATTCTAGAGCAATTTGTATAACTGTTTTTGGATAAAATTGTTTTGGGTCTTCAGCATTGTTAAATGACCTAATCAAATAAATAATTACTGAGGTTGGTTCTGTTACAAGGTATAAGTAACAAACTGTCATAGACATAAAAATATCCAACTTGATCTATAGAAGACAAATGATATTTTGACTACAGCTTAAAGATATTAAGATGACCTTGTCCAAATTTTAGGTGATTAGAGGTATAATATGTGACAAACTCCCATAGATCAGTGACACAATGTGAGGACTAACCAGATATACATTACACCTATCTGTGCCATTGTGCTCCAATAATGAGTAATTCCTGAGAAAAAGAGTTTTATCAGACAGTTTTATCACACATAAAATTGTATGGGTTTGTCCAAACAAGATGTAATGAGTCAAAAATGATGTGTAATATGCTTTTAATAGTCGACGCCAAGATGAAAGCACGGTTATTTAGATGTACATCATCCTCGTTCGCCCACGTCAATAAAATTCAAGTTCTTCCAGGCATTTTAATCTTATCTCGACCTCTTTAAAAAAAAAATACTGATGGTGAGTTTAAGATTCTCCTCACAGTTTTAAGATGTGAGTGATGGTGCTGTCAGCTCTCGTGACCTTCCATGTAGCTTCATACCACTTCCTGGCATAGAAAAAAGTGTGCTCATTCAGCTGGAGAGAAAATTGGAACTTCACCTTTGCTTACCTGGGAGGGTTGAGTTTGTTATTTGTATGTTCAGGTCGGATGGCGAGAAGAACTATAAAACCCACATAAATTATCTCCAATGCTCTGATGCTGCTGACTGATACACTTTTAAGTTTGCAAACAACACGCTTGTGTTATCAAATGTTTTGTCCTTTAGATGCTTTAGGCTTTTTCGAAAAGTAGAACATTTTTTTAGCATTAACCTGATAATTTGATAGCAGGTGAATTGAGGTGTATTTTAAAGGTGGTAGTTTATGGACTTTGTCAAACTTATTGAAAGTAATTATAGTGCATGAGTACTTGGCATTGAGTCAAGTAGGAATATTAGCAAGAATCTATTATCACCGGTAATTGATGTTATATATTATATAGATTTTTCTACAGTGTTTAGTATTAACTACTTTTTTACTAGGTAATTGTGTGTAATTGGTGTATTTTAGCCATTCTTTGGCAATGTTGTTAAAATGTTTTATATTTTCTGTACTTTTAGGTCCTAGAACAGCGTGCAGATGGCATGTGGAAGGGCTTCGTAATGCATGAGGGACAGATGGCCAAAACTGGCTTCTTTCCCGCCTCTGCTGTAGTGCTGGTAGACAGGCAATGTAAGTAGAAAACATCTTAAAGAGTCTTTTGGGACTTCCTGAAGATGGCCCAAATTTTATATTAAGTTGTCAAATATTAAACACTGTTAAATGGGAGATTTGATTACCGAATGGACTTTTGAAAACAAATTTTCATTCAGGAAGGATAACTGTCAGGTTGGTTGGTTGGTTGGTTGGTTGGGTCTGGGTGAGGTTGGATCTGGGCACCATCTTTGTGGAGTAGTAGTTTGGTTCATCTATAGATGTGTACTACCTACTAATTGTCCAAATACTAATTTCTCCTTTGAAGTATTTTTTATTCCTGGAGAAGAATTGAAGTTTTTAAAATGACGTATGCTTGAAGTAAAATGATTTATACACAAATTATAATCTCTGGCTAGGGGCTGCCAGGGACACTTCTCTGTAAGTTATTTTTGTGCATTATATTATAATATTATGATCATTTATGTACCAGAACTCAAACCCATTATTTTTCATTCGTAGATATTTTTTAATCACATGACCATTTTGTGTTATATTTAAGCATTAGAAAACCGTACTCAGTCACTGCGAGGGTCTATGCATGGGGTCAGTCCAGTCAAATATGGTGGACAACAAGTGCCAGACCTCATCAACAGGAACCACAGCTTACACAATGGAGTGACAGACAGGAACTCTTATGGAAGTGTTGGAGCAGACGAATCTTTCCCTCCACCTCCATCCCCAATGACGCTGGCACGGAACTCTGCTCATGGTGAGTCAAAAGGGAAAGAATGAAAGAAGGTGAAAACAGAGATTGTTGCGCAGAAGCGTGGTTGAAAGTTCAATGTTTGCTTCAGGTAGTCGCCTCTCATCCTCTGAGGTCCATCCGTTTTGTTTGATTGTGGTGGAAATCTCAACTAGCACAATTTGGAATAAACACAAGCAGATTGCACAGATGTTGTTTGGCAATAGTACAAATCTCTGTCTTTTTTGCCTGGAGTGAAATACAGCAAAAGAGCAATCATTTCAGCGGAAAGTAAAAAAAAAAGAAAGAAAGAAAAGAGAGTCAGTATGTCTTTATCAGTGTTTTTTCCCAAGAATTTCTTGAATCCCATCTCGTTAGAAACAGACAAGGCAATGTAACATGATTAGAGATGTACTTATAGTGATGTGATTTTTAAAATTTTTTTTCAGAATATGAGCACCAGCAGCCGGCCCCAGTGGCCCCAGTCCTCCATCCTGGTCCTCTTCCTTCTCCTCATCACCTCAACTCACCTCGATTCAACTTTGTCAACCACAACCAGGTAAGTCCGTGGAAAGACTGAAGTTCTTCTGAAATAAATTTTTCATTTTCAGGAGAATTCAGTCTATGTAATGTTGAAGGGGGAAGTTCCAGTTTTAAGTTACGAAGTCAGGCACACATGCCCCGTAGCTAAAATATGAAATAAGATAAATAAAAAGAACCAACAAAACAGAAAATACATGCATGTTATAACAAGTTGGTAAATCACTGGATGTGGTCTTCTCCTGGGTATTACTTACAGACCAGATGGGCACTGTATCCATGGTCTGGAGATTGATTAAAGATAGAAAAAAGATGATACATCACTGTCTGTGGCTGGTAATCAGTCTACTCTGTCTCTGCGTGTGTCCCCCGAGGGGTGTTTTCTGCAGCACAAGAAAGCTTGATTGTTGTCACATTTATCTCGGAGAATAGGCTTAAAATGTCAATACCAATAGCAAATTGAGTGTGGAAACAAGGCGTGTGTTTCAGTCATTATTATGCGTCAATAATTAACTACCTAAACGTTTACACACACTGATTGGTTATTACTTTTCCAATGCTTGAATAGGGATTATTTGATTTCTTTTACGGGACTGAATTCCTTTTTTAAAAGCACCTGCAGTCATTCTAATTAACAAAGGTAGTGGAAGGTTTTAGCGATTGAAGACCTATATATACAGTGAATGAAGCAGATGATATTTTTGACAATTTTGCACATATCGGACTTCTCTTTGTTTTAGGTTTACTATGAACAAATCAAAGGACTTATTGTGTCAGTTCACAGGTTCTGTTACACTGTTTCACCTAGTTTTAAATTTTTACTGCAGTTGTTTTTTAAGACAAGTTTCCAGTATTGTTCTTGACCATGATTTTTTCATCCACTCTGCCAGGAAGGGCTGACCTGTAATAATCTAGGTCAAGGGAGGTTGACCTCCACAGAGGAAAAAATTGATTTCAGATATGTCTCATACTGTTCCATCTCGCCATACCAAGATAGTTATCTTACAGTGCAGTTTTCTCTCATCCACATAAAAACATTCTGAATCTTATCTGATCCAGATATTCTATTGTTCCAATCAAATAAGAAGTCTTGAGAAAAGATTGTTTTAAAATGTCTGTTTCAGTTTCTCTCATTGATCAATTCAAGTGGAGCTAGCCTAACTAGCAAAACAAGTTAATTGTGTCTGGAAGTGGGTGATAACCTCCAGCAGATGAAGTGTTGAAAATGTACCCCACTGCTTGTGTTATAGATTTCCAATAGATGCTGTGAAAAGAAAGTGTTATTTGATTGTAAGATAAATTGATCATCCTTTAACTGGTGTAATTAAGCCAGCTATTGGGATTGGGCCTCTGGTGTTAGTGATTTTGATCTTTTGCCCCAAAAGGCTGTATTTGTGAACTCTCCAAGGGGCATGTATACCATCAGCCAGTAATGGTTGCTTTGGATATAAGCAAAGTATGATGTAATGGAAGGGATATGCACTCAATGCATTGCAAACTTCCAGGTACTGTAGTCAGACATCTGCTGCCAGTAAAGGTAAAACCAGCTGAATTTGTTTTTTGTTTTTTTTTATCCTTATTGTATAGATTTGTTGGAAGTAAATTCTTTATTTTTGTTGAGTTGAATAGGGTTGTTTTCTTTGGAAACCTGTAAACAGAATGATAGAACTGACTCAGAACTTTCGAAAGGGAACGTTCCTTGTTTGCAAAAAAATAGGAATGCAGAGCTATAAACAATCTTGGGCCAACAGGAATATTTAATTAAGTAGTTGCTACGGGAGTCTTGCTATCGTAAAAATACAATATTACAGATTTGGAAAGAAACCAAATGGAGGTGTTCCTTTACCATATCCAGATTAAAATGCAGCACTTGAGAAAAAACTGACAGAGAAATTAAGATCATAAAACTATGGAACTCAAATAGAAAATGCAGAAGCTGATAAAATCCTCGTAGGCATTCCTGCTAAGAAACTCGTATGAAATGGTGATAGCGTAGGCTCCATGGTGAGAAATGCCCAATACTGAAAGCTTTTACTGCGATAAATGTCTAGTAAAAGGTCATGCTGGGTTTGTAAATGACTGTTTGCATCAGAGTTATAAGCTGGTTACATCACGGTGTTGCTCTACTCTATGAGCAGACCTGCTGTTTTGGCATTTAATCTGCAGATGGAATAATATACACTGCGGATCTTTCATATTTTACCTCTGTTAAACTGCCAAAATTCCTAGAAGTGCAAAGAAAGTTATTGGTGCAAAGTTAAAGAATTGGGTAAGGCTGTCAGCAATATGTTTATGTTTTTCATCGTTTTCTTTTAAAAGAATTTTAGGTAATGCTTGTAGAGGTTAAGATGGACTAAGCTAACTATATCTATAAAGCTTCCAGCAGAAGCATTAAACCATGTATTAAACCAAGTGTATTTACTTAGGATTTACCTAGAACTGTGTGTTGGACATAATATATAACAGAATGAAGCTAGTCATGTATCCTATTCTATTGCAGATGTCCCATTCTCCCAAGCCAGGCACCCCAGGCACCCCAGACAAGACATTTGACTGGCCTCCTCGCCACCTCGATGGAGGGGATATGAGATCTGGAAGTCCACTGCGCTCAGGAAGTCCATGCAAGTCCAGTCCATGTAACAGCAACAGGAACAGCTCAGCAAGCATTGATAGTGGGAGGAGTCTTGGGTCATCACAGTTCGACAACAGGGTAAGTGTGGTGATTTAGAGTACTCAACAAGTCTTGTACTTATGATATGAAAATTGAGAGGATGCATATACATATTTTTTCTACCACTGAGATTTCATAAGAAACTTTGACATTAAAACAACTGTATCTGATGGATTTTAATAAGGGAACTTTGCATTGAGGATGATTGGCAATGGGCATGCTAAGCAGATGTCATTGCTGTGAAGATGGTATATAAAGGATTTCTTTTGAGTGGTACCATATGGAATTATGTGTCATTGATGTATAAATTTGGTACATAAACATTGTACATGAAGTTATATATGATATAATCAAGCGTGGAAAGCCCATAGCCCTGTTGGTCTCACCAGGACTGGGGACGAGAATCGATAATAAAAAGATAACTAAATCATAGCCTAGCAGGATTGCTAGCAAGTATTTTTTCCCCAACTTCCTTTTTTTTTTTCTATTTGGCAATTTAGAACTCAACTTAGCATACCACTGCACAAAACATATCCTGTTATATTCTACAGTTTCTTTTCTTAATTGCTTTCTCTAACCTGGCACTGAAGAGTGCTTAGCCCATATGAAAATAAACAAAGATAATTTTTGCCTTCAATTTTGCTAATCCATTGAAATTTTCGCTCTAAGATTTCAGTACTATTTCAAAGTTGTTAACTTGTTTTTGTTTTTTTAACTTATGCTAACAAATGGGAATGTGCATGCATGTACATATGCAAGCATACATATGACCAAATTTTAAAGAAAAAATTTTTACAACCAATTTTGTCTCTTCCAGAGTGGCCATATCTATGTGAACCACAACCAGCACCGGCTGTCAGGTCAGAGCTATGAGTCTGGGCTGTCTTCTCGGCAGAGCTACCACAGTACGTCCAGCTCCAGTATGGGCAGTCTAGATAGACTAGAAGAGAGCGGCTACTCCAGCCAGGTCAATGTGGCAGAACTTTTCCAAGCAGGATACACAGTATGTAGCTATTTCTGTTATAGTTTGTGTTTTTAATTGAGTTTTTTTCCCCCACTGGGTTTGTATAGATCTAGCTTTTTGTGTTTAAACCAATTAGTTTAGAATTATCAGTGAATTAATTATTAATTATTTATTTGTTTATTTATTATTTGAGGAACTAGATGACGTAATGGTGAAAGGACATAATATCCTTCTTCTGTAAAAAAAATTTAACATCATCACTCAGTGTAGGATGTAGCAGATGACACGTTGTGGGAAGTAATGGATGATGACAGTTCTGTTGCCACAGTGACAGCAGCGATCAATACCCGTGTTCTGGTCATTCCTCAAAGTAATGGAGATTAAGTCCATAGATATTTCTTATAATTGATATATGGATGCTTCAGAATTTTTTAATGAGGCAATGGGGAAATTGAATTAATTAGATCAAAATACTTTATACAGAGGAGTGTTTTCTGTTTTATAACACATACTCCAGTCTGTGAAGGCAACGAACACAAATGTAATATGCATTGTGAATTAATTCCAGTAACATGAACTTCGAATGTAGGCCCCTAGAATATTTCACCTGTCTTAAGACTTGAATATTCTGTATATACCAATCCAATTAGCTTTCCAGAAGAATAGTAGTAACAGTTGGCAGTGTATGCTCTATGTGGTATTTTGTTGATCTATTCTTAATTTGTAAAGGTCATCTTGTAAAAACTGGGATGATCACCACTTGGCAGTTGCTTAGTATTGATCCTCCAGCCCAGAGTGCCCACTGGGAGTATCCAGAAAACATTTACAATTTGAAGCTCTAACAGAGGATCCACACATCTTTCTTGTGTATCTGCAAAATTGATTCTTAATGGCCCCCATTTCTTTGGTGGAAAAGCACTGGAGATTCACTCATTTTCATCCAAATGATATTTCTGGTTTCCCTGTTGGTAGCCTGCCAGGATTGGTTAATAATCTCGCCTTTGAAGAGCCATTACTGTGTTGACATAGCAGAATGTTTGTTCTGCCGTCTGAACAGCCTCTCAGGCGTGTGCCATGCATCTGAGCAAATCCAGCCGTGTGCGACGTTGCATTGTCTGACTCTTAACTTTTCTGAACAAACTTATTTTCCAGCATAGTTTTTAATAACACCTTGGGGAAATTGGCAACAGATGTATGGTTCATCTTACAATTAGAACATCTTTATGCTGGCGCTTTCACATCTCCAGTGCTTATTATTGCGGATCTGACACATACACAATCAATATTTAAACTTCCCAGCTCCTCGGAGGAGTTGACATAGCAAAATTGATGCTCATTTTATATTTTATTGAATTGATATACTTTGAATCATGGACTGTAATCAGATTAGCCATGTTCCTATCTACATGGAGGTGCTGGCGGAAGTTGCGGCTTGGTTTGTCAGTGGAGTTACAGAAAGACCCGGAGAATTCTGAGGAGCAGACAGACGCTTTTTGTTCCCGTTTCTTACACCATGGTTTCCTATGTGAAGAGCGTGATAGCCCAGTGCCGGAGTAGAGTGCACTATGGACAGGTTGTTGTCTGGAAAATTTGATTGAATGGTTCAGTGGTCCAGCCACTCGAGCAGAGTTTCCTCTCAGAGGAATCGCATCCATCAGTTTTATAGAGACGCCTGTCAACTTTTATCATAATTTTCCTGGAGGACTTTGCTTTACTAGAAATGTGTTCTGAAATTGGTCACGATGCAGGTTTATTTGCAGAAACGATATTTGAAATTTTGCACTTTCATTCAGAATTCCACAAGATGAGTGGTGTGACCACCTTTGGCTGTTCATGCATAGAAAAATTGACATATTTGTGATCTAAGTATTTTAGATATAGTTTTCTCATGTGTATCTCTTAACATATTTCTCAATTCATTTCAGGACCACGAAGTGCTGCATGCCTGGCTGTGTGACCTCCATTTTGAGGAATATTTCAACTTGTTCGTACAAGCAGGCTATGACATGGGAACAATTACACACATGACACCACAGGTAAGCTGACATAATGTCACAGGACTAGGAGGAAAACTTTATCTGCTTGCTTATGTGCAGTATTGGAAATATGAGGCTAGATTCTCATTACTCAATACTGGTATTTGAATATTCTAACCACTGGCTTAGCTGCCTGACTGACTGGTGTTTTGTTGTATGTGGCACAAACTAGTTATACAATATTTCATGATTTACAGGATTTACATTGTATAGCTGGAATTATTTAAATGTCAGTCTAAATTAAGGTATAAGCATAATGCCATCCTTTCAGATAATATTTGTTAATGAACTATCCATGTTTCCACTTATTTGCATAGCTCTGTTCCAAAGGGAAAAAAAGAAAGAGGAAAATGGAAACTCGGAATGATATTTACTGATAACATTTACAGTAATGGAAGAATGGTTCTTTTTATCAGAAACAGTATAAGATGATGGCATAGTCAGTTTAAATTTGCTTACTGCTCTGTCTGGCCACTCAATATCTGGTACATATTTCAAAAGTATTATAATAACATCCACAATCATCCTCTCTCCTGGGGACTCTTCTTTCCAAATAACAGAACAGCGTATGGTCCCTGCGTTAGCTTAGGGAGACTTGATGCTGGGATTAATGAAATAGTGGACAAATTGAGCTTGGGAGATTCACTTTGATGTATCCAAATAAAAGCACAAAAGCACTGTTTGATCTTATCAATGGGAACTCAATCAATCGTTTTGAAGCCTCATTTTCTAGTTCAGTTAAGGTTGTTATTGCTTCAGAGAAAGAAATGCTTCTCTCGAAACCGCAGATCAATCTCAATTTGAAGCCAATGTTTTTTTTCTGTGAGATAGCTACATCTGTTCTGCAGGAAAGGTCTTCATCATAACTGTATGGGCATTGTAGTAAATGTGTCACTCTCTGTGATCACATGATTGTGATTGATTATTATTGGTTAAGAAAAGTTTTATGTTTTGTTACAATTAAAGTGCAAGCCTTTCAATACTTATGATGCTGAATGTTACAAACTACTCTGCTCACTCCAGGGAAATCTAAGTCGCATGTAAAATATTAATTGGTATCCAGCAAGCAAAGCTGTAAAGACCAATGCTGTCATGTGTCATACATTGCCACTGTTCCTCATGGGAACTCTGGCTAAACTAAAACTCTGCAATGTTTTCAACATAGAGAACTCAACTAATGTCTTGTGCATTAAAAATTTCAGTTTTCAATGTTATGAGGATTGGTTGGTTGGTTGCCAAATTTTCAGAAATGAAACTTGGGCTATGCTGAGGAATGTACAGAACAATTAAAAATTAAAACTGATTATGATTGCATAATTTGATATTTTTTCTTCCAGGATTTAACGGCTATAGGAATTACCAAGCCAGGCCACAGAAAGAAACTGAAAGCTGAGATCAGCAAGTTGAATCTCCATGATGGAATACCAGATTACAAACCTGTGAGTATTTCTATTACCACTGGAGAGCGTTCTTCATGTGCTGTAGTATTACAGATCATCAAATATTTACGAGATAACTGCATGGCTTAATTGTTCCTGCTGGTTTAGGCAATGTTAGGTGGTTTTAGTGACATGACTAGGAAACTTGCATAAACAGCAAGCCAGTGCAAAATATGGCTGGAATAAGCTTAAGTCACCAGTTATCATAGCATTAATGCTGAACTTGCTTAAGATTTTTTCATGTGAAGAGATCTCAGTTCAGTGTATGGAATAGCTATTCAGTGTAACTAAATTTCTGAGAGGTCTTATAAGTATATATATGTAGTTTCTGACTGCAGATAAAAGAAAATTAGATCATTTGCTGTCCGGCATTATTTTATGATTATGGGTGATCTGAAGATAACTGTAGAGGAACATATAATATTTTATACATATGACCAGCTATTGATTTAGATTATAAATGCAAGGCAACTCTCTCTCTGTTTTTTTTTTTTTTTTTTTTTTTTTTTTTTTTTTTTTTTTTTTTTTTTTTGAAGTTTGTCACAATAGCAGTAGGTGTTTTTAGCTGCATAGAGTTTTGTAGAAATAATATTTCATACACAAAAGCCTGATATTGATTCTAGAGCAGATTATAAATGCAAGGCATTTTTAAAGCAAAAAAAAAAAAAAAAAAAGCTGGCACAGTGGCAGTAGGTGTTTTGAACTGAATCAAGTATTATGATGAACACTTTTTCTTGGTTTATTCAAGTTAAGTAGCAAGTGGAAAGTAACACTGCACTGTAGGAAAGATGTAGCCTAAGGGTGATGGAAATTAAAACACATCTTGCAATAATTGGGTTTGTGTACATTAGTGATCCACAAATCTATACAATTACATCACAATTTTCCACTACATTAGTCATTCACTTTGTGCACAGCATGGTGGGAACAATTACATTCGAGATGAACTTCTAATCAAAAGGCTTAAGAATTCCTAATGAAACTTTGTATTGTTGCAGAATGATCTGTATGAATGGCTCCAGCTGTTACGCCTAGAGCAGTACTATGACACACTGGCACAGCAGGGATATGACAAGATTGACATGGTCACTGACATTATGTGGGAAGACATGGAGGATGTGGGAATCTCATTATTAGGTGAGCAGAAACTACATTTATTTTCCCCTTTTGTTAATGAGTTTTGAATCTGAAGGCAATTTAATGAAGGGAAAAGGCTTTTTTCATTTAATAATGTCTCCATCTATTCTTATCCAACACAAGATCCATTAGTTCTGATCAAATATTGCATATGCTTTAAAAGATTCCAAGTAACCACTTCAATTATGTCAATGTTTGTTATGATATAGATCAATTTTGCTCTGTTTTTCTCCCAAAAATATCAGAAACTGTGATAAATGTTATCAAGACTGTAATGAAATAATCCAAGCACTCCAATTTGACAGGATTTGAATAATTTTGTGAAGTCGCTTGTTTTGCTTACTCAGTGTAANTTTTTTTTATTTTGTTTTTTTTTTTTTTTTTTGCCCTCTCGCACCGATTTTGGGGTACTCAGAGGATGTCATCCATAAAAATAAAAAAGTGTGGCCTAATCAGAAATCAATAGACCGTATGTAAACTTAGCAGTGGCTGTCCTGGACTGATTTATAAGCTTTTTTCTCATTTTCACAAAACTTCTCTCTTTCCTCCCCTGACAGGTCACCAGAAGAAATTTATGCTGGCAATTGATCGGCTGAAGCGCATCCAGTCAGGTGCTGGCAGACGACTCTCCTCCATGGAAAGACAGGCGTCAGCTGAGATGCTGGACACTCCTCCTTCTCCAGGTTTCCAGCCACCCCCCTCATCCCGCTGGTCAGCAGACATGGGTGCGGTCCAGTACCACCCTGAGGGTCAGTACCAGGTGGTCAAGCCCAAGCGCTCTCCTTCAGGAGACAGTATGAGCAGCAGTGGAAGCGCCAAGGACAACCTGTCCAGCTTCCACCAGCTGCAGCAAGAAAACAGAGGTGCTACAGAAATCATTCATTTGAGGAATAGCAGTCCCAAAGTTTATCAGCCAGATGTGGTGGCTATTCAAGTCAATAGATCTCTGTCTCGGTCAGGGACATCAGATGGACTGGATGTTTATGCAGAAGGACAAAATGTGATCTGCCGGTCCTTTCAGGCACCTCCAGAGAATAAGTATAAGGAAGAGGCACTCCCTGTGGATGGTGAGGTGACCCCCACTAATGAGCTTAATCCGTGTAATGCAGATGACAGTGACCATGCAGGGTCTCTAGGTAGACCATCTGCAGCAGTCAGTCCGAGAGTGGTGGTCAAACCAAAACCAGTGGCCAAAATTGTGGCTAAAACAAAACGATCGAGTCGGGATTTTACACCAGAGATAATTCCTTTAGGCCCAGATTACTGTAGCAGTGGTGACATAGGGAGTTATGCCACTTTACGCAAACCTTTAAAGACACCAAAGGATTCTAGCAAAGAGCAGCAGTCTTCTGACATTGTGTCACAACAACAACTGCAAGGAAACTCGGTGAAATCTCAAAAGGAGTTATTGGCAGCAAGTATAGCACAGAGTGTAGCGAACAGGAAAAACATGGCCACCAGCCAACATAATTCACAGCCTGCTGGACCAGGTTCCCCAAAATCTACTTCTGCTCCCCTCAATGTGTTCACCAATGGGCCTATTGTGAACTCCCAGGGCTCCCCCAGGTCTCCTACAACTGGTCACCATCAACATAGTCTGTCTGCCCCTGTCACCAATGGCCCTAATCATATTCCTTCAGCAAGCAGTGGTGGGCACAGCAAACCACCTGCTAATTCTTCTCATGGAAAGAATAAAAAGCCTCCTCCCCCGCCAAAAAGGACCAACTCTATCAAAAGTGACACCCCTGTGGTTGTGGAGAGGAGACACCATAGTTTTTCAGAGAGTCCGAAATCTTCGCATAGACAACAACAGCCACAGGCGGGTAATGTGCTGCACACTCCAAGCCTTCAGAAATCTTCTAGCGCCAGCCTGCCACAACATAACTCAACCAGCAGTGTCCCAGCACCACAGAAGCTACAGAAAAGTAGTCCTCCGCAGAAATCTCAGTTTGGTAAGCAGAATTCACCCGTCACAAGTTCATCTCATAAGCTGCAAAGCAGTAATCACGCTGAAGTATCTCAAACTACGAGTCAGTCACCAAAATCACCTGTTGCCAAACACAAACAACAACAACAGAATCAGCAGCAACAGCAACCAGATTTCCAAGACTGTGTGAAAAGTCTTGCATTGAAATTTAATAAACCAAAAACAGACAGTTTGCCTTCTCCGCCAAAAGAAGCCTATGAGCCTCCTCAGACAGAAGAATTCCCTCCTCCTCCACCTCCCATTGCAACTGATATTTCACCTCCAAAGAAGGAAAAAGACTTAGTTAATATAGCAAAAGCAAACCTTAAATCTCCACAGAAACTGTCAAAACCTCAACAGAAATCTCCCAAACCGGAGCAAAAGTTCTCTAAACCTGATCTAAAACCTGCCAAAGTGGAAACAAAAAGTGCAGAACACAGACTTGAAAGTAAACCCGAAAAAGTAGAACAGAAAGCAGAGGTCAAGCCAAAAATGTCCAAGCCGTCACTGCCTGCTGATCTCTCAGGCTCGGACAGTGGCAGTAGTAGCTGTGATGAAGATACGTTGTCAGACTCCAAGAAGAATGGCTCCTCCTCTAGCAATGAGAGCATCAACAGTATCACTGTGGACTCCAATACGTTGCCTTTTGCCAATGAAAATGTTGGCACTATTAAACAGAAGAATGCACCCCCTAAGCCTTCCATAGTTCAGTTTAACATGGATGGAGATGCAGACTTAAACAACAGCCTCTTTGATGGGACGGGGACAATCAAAAGAGCACCTGCCAAACACAGTACAGAAGGTAAACACTGTAATGAATATGGATTTAAGTATTCAATCTTTATATAAAACCTAGGTTAATTGTGACACTTGCTTTCTTCTACTAGGTTTTAAAGATAATTATTGACTTTGAAATGGAATAAATATTTTTCATTTTTGTAAGCCAAAGTAATCCATTTTGACTACTGGCAAGCACGGCAGCTTGTCAGCTTCAGCTAAGCAGATATAATTTGTATCTTGAGCAATTCCTTCAAGTCGTGAATCATTTCTCATTGTCTACAATAACTGTGCTGAAGAGATAACTTGATTAATTGCAGCAGTTTGCTAGATTGGCAGTAAATGTTTGTCTTAGAATTAAATGTTGTTTTCATTCTCTGTGTTTCAGCAGCAGCTGCTGCAGCAGGCAGAGGTCAGATGGGGGCTGAGTTTTACACAGGGGATGATTTCCTCATGGACAGGTTAGTTCTGTTGCATGTAGTGCCATCATGAACACACTTTAAAATGTGTGTAGAGGAGCTGTAGAATGGTCGTGTAAAATATCACCAGGATTTTTTGTTTTCGGGGTCTTGTATCATTTAGCTCTAACCAAGTGTATATGAGATAATGCATTTAGTAATGTATTGATCCAGTTGCATTTCTTCATTCTGTATATCATTCTGTCCCTGCTTCATTATCATAGGATGACCAACAGAAATGCCCCAAATAAAAAACATCATTTATATTCCATGCAATAAAACACATATTTTCTACTTTATACATTTATGAATTTAGTTAAATTTGGACTCGGATAATCATTGTGCCCTCTTTCACTTCAGTTCTGACTTCCCGTCTGGCCAAGGCAACGATGTGCTAGATGACATAGGGAACATGCTTCAGGGGCTCACAGATGAATTAGACGCCATGTTGGATGATGAGATCTAAAAGCACAGGAACAAGACACTAGAGAGCGCTACTTGGAACACGGCCTGAAGAAGTTCCAAAAGATCTGTGATGCCAGAAAGATATCTGCAGATGCCTTGACTCTAAGCCAGGCACATAAATACTGGGGCCCTTCAGGAAGGTGTTGGTCTCCTGTAATGATCTGGTGTTGCAGGTATTCTTTTCTATGGGAATGACCAGTGTACATGTCCTTTATTATGGAAAAGGTGACTATTATCTGATGGAAACTCTGGGATACCTTGATATATTAGGTGTAATTGCCTGATGCATGAATCGAAGAACAACACCAGTTAATGCTACTAGAGGAGGACTTGATGGTGCTGCGCAGGACGCAGGGCATTATAGAAAACTCTTGTAAATCTGTGGGAGAAGGCTGAATGTGGGTGGACATTGAAGCTTTAGGACTGCCTAGTCAGATATGGGCACAGCAGGTTTGCAGGAAAGATCCAGTAATTTTTATGGAGGAATAGGTTCACATACTTTTAGTGGATATCGTATCAAGTCTTTGATATGTGAATGGGTGTAGGTGTCCTGTAATAGCAGCTGATTTGCATTAGATTATGGGTAGTAATTTGCTTTTAAATATGTAAAAAAGGAATATGCTAAATGATGATGATGGGGGTACTTTTTATGGTAGCCGATAGCTTCATCAAGACAAGCCTACACACACAGGCTGTGAATAGAGCAATGACTTAGTTATCAAAAGCCTTTACTATGTAGGTCACTGGATAGGTGGCTGAGTCAAGACAAGATTGGTGGTAACCCAATGAAGAAGAACTCGTGTCTGCTTCCCAAAAAGATATCTGGAGCCTTCATGATACACACTGGTTGCTTTAATCAGATGATATTCAATTGTACATAACATAGCTGTAAATGTGTATATATATATTTGTTTATAAATACAGATTTTCTCAATGTGTAGGTTCACATCCTCAAAGTGCCATGGATTTCATTACAAGGTGGTGTCCCGGTGAGATCAAAATAATATAGAATAAAGCCGTTGAATTCTAAAGACACCAACCAGATATCAGAAAATTCATCTATTTGAATTAAGATTGTTATCACTAGCAACATATCTGTACATAACCAGTGTACATTCTTTGCCTTTGGAAGTGCTTTTATTTTAAGAATGTTTGGTAAAATATATATTTAATGGTTATGTTGGCCAAGTTAAGTTATTGACAGGGGCTAAACTGGTGCCTTATTTATGCAGAGGACTGTAATATAATGAATAACGAAAAAAGAAAATATATCAATGTTAAGTATACTCAGTGAAGCATTATTGAATATAAGATAAGTATTCAGCCTAAAGTGCTTTTGGAATAAGATAATGTAAATTTCCTTCTACCTTGAAACGGGAACTTGGTTTTATGGGTCTCAATGTACAACTCCTGTGATCATATTTTTAAGTGTTATTCATATTATAATTACACATTTTCCTTTCTTTTCATCATTGCTTTGGCACCAGTTTTTTAATCAACAATATCAACTTTAACTGCTAGCAATTTCTGGTTAACATTAAAGATTTTTATTATCATGTAGGAAACTACTTGCTTTAATCATAGTCCTCACTGCCAGGAAGGGGTGTATTATTTGCAGAAAAAAGTGCGTTATTAGAAAGGGGATTCATTTTGAATGCTCGGTATATTTATGAAAGATTATTTTTCATTTCATGTCATACCCGATCTTACATTTGTGTGATGTCACAAGGTGATACGAAGGTGCTGCCAAATATCTCGATTCACAATTTGCATCGTTTTGTTTCATGTAGAACAGGACTTGCTCAAAGTACAGGAAGCAATAGCATAGAGCCAGCGCATTCAGAGCTGTATCATATCATAAACAACCATTTTTAATGAAATAAAATATTTTGGTTGCACAGAATTGTTTCCAGACTTTGTTTTGAGTTATTTGCATCCTACATTTTAATCTTGGTTAAAACAAACGCGGGATTGATTGAGTCATAGGTAGAACTTAATGATAGTTCTATATTTGTAACATTAATAATTTTTACAAAAAAATTGAAAACATAAGCCACATGATAAGTGAATGAAAGATTATATTTTGAAGCTTGGACATGTTTGCTAAATACTGTAAAGCAACAGTTATTTAAAAAAGGTAGAAATAATGGGGCTTCCAAATAATAGATTGTGTTGAAGAGACGGGCAAGATTGTACCTCGCAGCAAATTGCGATTGGTGCGCCAATTGAGATCAGTGTTTTGACGTTTCTCTCTTACCACAGGGTGCGCTAGTAGTCTGTTACAAAACTGGTGTATGAAACATTGTACTTCGTAATTTCCGTAAACGTCGCACATCCTAATGTCAATAGGAATGTTACATACCGTTACCACTACTCAAAACAAAAATAAAAGGATTCATGTAACTGATAACTAAGTCAAGAGATGAAAACGCTATTTAACTCGGTAGTGTGATGGGCGATAGGAGGCAGAGAACTTAAGAGGATGCTAAAACTCATTATTTTTTCACCAAAACCCCGTGTACTGTCTTACAAAACTCTGCAATAGGACCAATGCGTACACGTTAACAAGTGATATATGATACAAGCATTTAATACACGTGAAATCGGCGAAATCGGGTGAACTGGGATTAGATGCAAAAATATTTTTTGCCTTCAATTCTGCAGCGAAGACAAGTGTAAAGGGCCCCCTCGGTACAGTATTTTTCCGATTTCTTTACGTTTTTTCATTACAAGTGAAGAAGGCGATATCTGTACCGAATTTTAGTTTTTTTATACTGGCCTTCCTGGTCGTGCAGTTCTTCAAAAATCAAAATTGATAATGTAATCGATCAGAAGCACCATCCGTGACTAAGCCAAACTAAGAGCTTTGAAGAAAATCGAGTAGCTTAATGCAACAAGGCGTATGTAATTGACGTGACAACCTGTAGAACAGTCCCTAGTCATCTTAGATTACATCCGTGTGGTTCAATAAAAAGACGCCTGTAGAAATCACCTTTAACGTGCGTAGCAGGTGATACAGAACTCGAAGTAAGACTTGCCGAGCACAACTGGTCAGTCCCTTGGAAAAAGGGCAATCCTGAGCGCCTTGTCCGGCATTGTGAACACTCGGTTAATCATGCCAATAGGTTCATGATGATATTCCATCCGGAAAGTTTGAACAATCTGAATGAAAATAGAGAGCTATCGTTAACAAAACATAATATCAACATGTATGATGCATCAAAAGATAGCAAAGGCTTTTTTATGGCCCAAAATCAGGTGACGTTTTCCGGCAAATCGTAACATTAAGGAAATATCGAAGCTGTCTTGATAGACATTAACACAGCAAGCAAAATGATAAATTCTAAAATTGTGCAAAAAAAGATACAAGTTACATCTGTTTTTGAAAATGTCTTCATTTTCTTACCTTAATCAAAGCTAGGTATATTTCTTGTTCAGCAAATCTCCTCCCTATACACATTCTAGGGCCGTATCCAAAAGGCATCATTACGAATGGTGGTGGTGCCTGAATGTCTCTACTGTCTTTCTTCAACCAGCGTTCCGGCAGAAATTCTTCAGGACGTTCAAAATATTCCTCTTGAAGACACATTACTTGATTGTTCATGGCAATCAAAGCCTTTAAAATGGTAAAATATCCAAATCAATACAATCCAAATCAAATAAATAATATAATAAATAAATAAAATTTGAAAACAGTTTGGTATAATAGGCCTAAGTCTGCGTGAATTTTCTTTTAATATTATTCAAAACATAAGACCCATTTAAAACAGTATGCACACATTACGAAATAAATTATATAATTCAAAATCTGAGAGAAGTTTTCTCCACATAGAAATTCTCAGTCGTCTATCTAATCCAGACAAACCGCAGACCTTAAAATCCAATACTGACCCCTTTAGGCACCATGTATCCTCCAAGTACAGTATCTTCCTCCAGAAACCTCCTCGTCCCCCCTTCCACTGGGAAATTGAGCCTGAACAACGCGGTCATGGTAAAAAGAACTATATAATGTACATTATGCAAACTGATTGTTGAAATGTTGAAAAATAACAATGCTTCTGCCTTCTTTTCTATTTAACTTTAAAATATTTTTAAGGGGGAAAAGTTGAATAGCGAGATTACGTGATATCATTACCATGGTGATATCGATATGAAAATAGTACAGTGAAAATAGTGAGATATAGTTCTATCACGAAAAAAAAAAAATAGCGTGGACAGAAATTACACTGATGCTCATAAGTTAAGCAACACCCCGATTTTTTCAAAAGTTTCTTCTATCATGATCATTATTTCATTTGTTGGTGGGGTTATGCATATTTCTTTCATATTTTATAAATAACTTATTCAAGTTGAATATTTGTGTTAAATATATACACAACATAGCTTATTGTAATAATCAAAATAACTTTATTAACCAAACGGTACTAAAATATGCCAAACTATGTGTCAAAAAAGTATGCTCACACAGCAAAAAGTACGTGCTGATTAAAACAGCTTATTATGAAAAAATAAAGTTCGATCATCTAAGAATTAGTTTTAATAAAAGAAGACTGTAGATAATAGATAATTAATCGTCTATTATGCAATAAATATTGGGTGTGCCTTCCCTGGTTTTGAACAACAGCTTCACATTGTCTCCTGCAACTTGCCACCATATTCTGCCAATCTTGCTTTGAGAGCCGGTTCCATTCTTCATTTACTGCCTGCTGGACCTCTCTAATGTTTCTAACTGGAGGCTGTCTCTCATTTACTACCCTGTCAATCATATCCTAAGCATGTTCTATTACATTGAGAATTGGTAAATATGCAGGCCAATCCAAATGTGGGATACCGCGCTGTTGCAGCGCGTCTTGCACGGACCATGCTTTCTGGATGGGCGCATTGTCCTGCACCAAAATGATTTTTCTTTCTGGATTTGCTTGAATGTGTGATTGTATGCACCCCAATGGTATTTCGTCTCTGTATTGTTGACCAGGGCACCTCCCTTGAATGACGTACGGTGGCAATTTTTCATTGTTTGGCTGATATGAACTGGTCCTGGTGGCATAATCGAACCAGATATCTTCATCTCTTGCGTCGGTTAATATTATTCTACCAGAAAGAGGCTTGTCCAATACATGATGAGTTTGGCGCCATTTTGCTACCAGCTTGGACACTTGACTTGGTGCTACTTTTTTGTTGCCTTGCAATCTGTCTCTTTGGCACCCCATCACGATGGCTTCCCATTATTTGCCTTCTGATTACCTCGTTGAGTCCTCTTCTAACCGTTGGTTGGTCCAAAATAACAAATTGTGCCCATGAAACTAGCCAAACTGGAAGCTCCTCATGGCATGGCCAAACTGTGTTTTTCGCAAGTGGGACCCCCATTGCATATTCTATCGTGTCCAACAGTAAATAGTACTCTAATGTCACGGTCCAGTAAGTCAAAGTAAAAACAAGAGAAATATCTAGCTATTGTACAAACTTTGCCTCAATAAAAATTTTGGTTGCTGAGAAATTCGAGAAATAAGAAAGTGTTGCTTAACTTATGAGCATCAGTGTATACCTGAAGGACTCTTTAATACATGCTTTCAGGTACGGCATGTTGTCTATGTGACTGACGCTCACTGAACATCCGCGGGGTATCACTGTGGATATTTCCTGATAAAGCTTTTCTTGTTCAGCCGGATTTTTGGCCAGGTGATAGAGAGCAAAGGACAGAGCGCTGGCAGTCTGGAAAGGCAATTTAGGTATCATTCACAAAATAAATCTCTGAAACTCTTCATGCAATTTACAATAAAATGGTGTATATTTGTAAATTCAAAAGTCGAAGAGTTTTGTACCAACAGATTTTGGTATATTTTTTCTAGTGTACCTATTGCGTCAGATAAAACTTTAAATATATTTTGAAAAGGTCATTTATTTACATAGTATATATAGGATTGAATAATGCGTACAAGGTACATACATATACGGGTTCTTAGAAAATTGGTTAACCAATTCATAGGTCTATGTAAAACGATTCAAACAATACAGATAACTCTTTTTATATTTGGTTTTATGTCTTATTGACAAATAAAGCCATCTCTAGTGAGAAAACTTTTGCTTCTCGGATATTTTATTTTTTACCAGAAATTATAACTGATTCGAGAAATTCGATACAGATTTCACACAGTTTTAATATTTCATTCTAGTAAGATATTAAACGCTTACTGAATCTATCCCTGCAGTAAATAAATCTACGGTCAGATTCACTGCATCCTCGTTTGACAAAGCCTTATTCGATAGCACAGCGGAGAGGAAACTGTCATTGTTTTCAGAATCATTGGAGCTAACCTCCCCAAATTTCTCTCTAGCGGCATTGAGATATTTAAGCGCAAGTCTGAAAGAAGAATTCAACACGTTTAATTGACAAAATGCTTTTGATCTTAAACCCACTGCCTGGCCATTAATGAATCATGATTAAATAATTATATCACTTATTTTCAATAAATATGAACTTGAAAAAATATAAACAAGCACGTTGTAGGTTTTGATTTCTTTCATAACAAAAAAGACGAAATAACTGTACATTTATATCTTTAAAAATTCTAATTATGCTTTATGTTTTCTTCAAATGGGCCTGATTATGATGGCCAGTTTGAAGAAAGCTTACTAAAGGGCTTGCTCCATATTATACCTTATGAGAAAAAACTTACTCGTTACATCCACGTTTTCCAGTAACAAACTGCGAGTACAGTCGTGTTCGAAAGAAATGATACCACGGAAACGCATACATCGTTTTTTGCACGGCGTCAAACATGGCTTGTGACGACGATATCATCTTGTTGGCGTCAGAACCAAGACATAAATCGTCATCCATTACCCCAAGTCTTGTGTTGAAACATACTGTGCCGATAGCTTGAAGTAAAGAGTTGAATTAAATATCTAATATAATGACATGCATAACAAGAGAAAAGACTCGCTTTTTACCGACCGGTTGACGCACACGCCGTAATCACGTGACCTTTAACGAGCACACCCTAATGCTAATTGTGTGTGAATTTGGTGACATTTGATGGCGTCTTTTCAATTTATAGACATTTCTTTACATCTGTAGAAGTCACAGTGAAACAGTGGATTTGAGGGGGTACCTCTTATAAATGTTACTAAATGGTATAAAATATGTATATTTTCACCACTATTTTGTATGATTTTTAACCATTAATCATGTTAGACACGGTAACTGTAATAAAAAGCACTATTTCTAACAATTAACAGCTGTAAGGTGATCATTTGTACATAAAAGTACATGGTAATGGGGGTGGGACAACCTTTTTGACCAATGTTGTATAACATATGCTTTCACATTTTCAGTTTTATATTCTACAAACAATACCAATTCGTTTTATTGTAATTACATTCCATGGCATATTTGGTGACGTAAGAGAACAGCTCTGATACTTCGCCGCTTGTTCTATCTCGTTTGTCTAACAGAAGTTGAAGAAAATCGTCCGCTACTTCGTTTTGTGCCGGGAGATAAACAGAGGCTGCCCTTGGATGCATCATCATCTTCTGAACTGACTTTCTCACGTTGAACCAGGCCTCGCCTTGTCTATAATGCATCGATGGAAATCCATATAAATCTCTACTGAAAACTAATTTATATTCTTCCAAATTTTATAGGAAAATGGAAAATTACTAGACAAAAATCCAATTTCACTGAGATATTGAAAAAAAGCTATCTTACTTACAAAGAACCTATTCCGAGGGCAAACTTTTCTCGTTTTTCAGCGATATAGACTATTGGCATCGGAGGTCGTTTGGGATACTTTCCCTCACCACGGAATACTTTAGCGATGTCGACTGGGTCAAACAAATTAACCACTGTCATCGGTCCAAGTTTTTCCTTGTATATCCGCCCGTAACGCTGGTAGTATTCCAGTTTAGCAAGATGAAGCCGTTCAAATCTGTAAGGACCTAAAATTGTAACTCATTAAACAGGACGAAAGCCCAATAATACTTGCTTCAGCCACCTTGTGTTTAGAAGTGTACTTCTACGTAAAGCCTTAAAAACGGCATTCCAACTATGTTTGAAAGTTATTTTTCCGGTGTACATATACCCCTAATAATAAAGAGGGCACAATCTCAGTATAATTTGTCACTTAAAAAGCTTGGCTCCTTCTTTTCGAACACAAGCTATCTATATTCTATATCTGTAGAATTTATTGTATCATCATTTGTACAATCATTATTTATCATAGACTGATAACTAATCAAAACTAGAAATGAAAGGATGTTGCCGTGTACGGCGATATTGTAAGAGCAGCATTCGTGACACTAACCCCCCCCCCCCCCTCTTTTTTTTTTCTGAGAGAGAGAGAGAGAGAGAGAGAGAGAGAGAGAGAGAGAGAGAGAATTTCAACACAAAATGTACCGCTGAGAATTAGGGGTAACAAGATACAGAGAAGCACTCTAAATGCCAGTCTAACTCAAATCTCATTTTAAAGCAAGCACAGCGTGGGACTAAAATAACCGCTACTCAAATATTAACTGGGATTTTTGCCATTTATGTCATTTCAACAGTGATAATGCAAATATCAGTCCTGGTTTAAAATGCATATAGGGTACAGGGCGTCCATAAGACACCCCAGTGGTCTCCCTGGTCCATCCTTCAAAAGGTAAACCTTTATCAAGGTTTGAGATTCCAAGTCCTCGACATTGCTCCCTACTTCTTCTTTATATTATTATTCTTATTATCTTATTTATTTGTTACCAACATTATTTTTTGTACCGACAAAGTTTAAGGCTATGGTAAACGTAGGTCACTCTCGAGTTCAATTACTTTCACGTTGCTTTCACCAGGTCAATTTTGGTCAGCTAAAGAACCTGACTGGCTTGATAAGTATATAAGATCTCCACTTCCAACAGAATATTTGTAGAGTTATACACGGTAAACTGTATACTTACCTAACTTGGTATAATTTAACGCCGAGCCAAATATTGGAACGCACCGGGGTCCAGGCATTGCTGAGAAGGGTAACGCCATTATGCTAGTTGGGTTAAGATCTCTCCAAATTCGCCTCGTCCCTTATTTTCCTTCTTGTTATGTATACACAATAAGGCTAAACAAACGCCCTGTGAGCTCTACGTTCACGGAGTCGCCCGATGACGACACTGCACACTTCACAAGGTCGGCTATGCTGTGAGGATCGTTTCTCCTACTCTCTGGCCACAGGGTGCGCTAGTAGTCTGTTATAACATTTTTGTATCGCCTATACTTTTATTTTATTTACTATTTTAGGGGCCCTCAAACTCAGAAGATACGTTTCTCACATGTTACGTCTTGACTTTGATACCTTAATAAAGCGGTCTATTATCAAGCCCGTAGCCAGAAATTTCAAAAGGGGGGTTCTTTTTCTGAAGAAGTGGACCTTTACCATGAAACCTCCGTATGCCTAGATAAAATTTTACCTAGAGGGGACCTTTTCCCAGTAAAAGTGTGTGTGTGTGGGGGGGGGGGGGGGTCCTTTTGAACCCCCCATCCCCCTGACTACGGGCCTGATTCTGTTCCCAAGATGGATCAGATGGATGAGTAGAAGACTTGTTAAAGCGAATTCTTGCGTCTGAAATACAGAATAAGGATTTTTTTGTGAAACAAGCCTGTGTATTTGGATTTTTTCTTTATTGAAAAAAGAATAACCATGAACGCTGCTTGTCTGTAGGGACTGCATATTGCGCAAATTTTATACGTGAAAGAAATACTAGCATTTGAAAATTTCCTAAACGTCACCTTCAAAGACGGTCTGTTTAGAATTTAGACAAGTTACAAGTTACAATGTGGGGAGTTTTCCTAGTGTGAACATGAAAGCTGCAGCACCCAAGCACAGAAATTACTTTGTGTTCAGGATAAGGATTAATACCCGCTGTGATATGAATCACAACCTTTATCCAGAATGGGACAAGGTATAAAATAAGTTAATCGCTACAGATGATGGGTCTTAGACTGAAGTGATAATAATCGCCGGTAAGTTGGTACGGAACGGACTGTGTAGCAAATCCCCCACCCCAATTCACACCCCGTATTAAATTTACGGGTATGATACATCAAACACAAAACACACAGACAATGTAGTATAGCGCAAGTGTACAGCAGATAGCTTCTTTCATACTGAAAAAATTGTCATCAAAATTATACCTTCCAAGTCATCATTTCTCTCAATTTGTGAAATAAACAAGTTTCTGTCAGAAGATGAAATACTGGCACGTACATGTAAATCTCAGTTAATTTTTCCAAACGCTATGTACAAATGAAACCAGTTAATTATTGAAAAAACACTCCAGTGAAACATGAAAACATTGCTAATTTTTTAACGTTTTCCATGTGTGAAACTGCTCACCGTTCTCAATTTGTGCTTTGATTATTATTATTTTGGTGTTCCTTTTGAAAATTTCAATTTACCTTTGACAGTTATCAATAGAATTCACATTCGGTGATGTGTAAGAAGTGTTATTGTGTTGAAAATTGTTTTCAAATTCAAGCAGCTCTACCTCACCTGAACAGCTATCAAAACTGTTTTAATGCCTATATAATTACGGTTATAAGTATTACAATTTGTTTTAAAGAATTATTATTGAAAGGCTTAATTCTGATTTTACCAGCAAAGAAGCTAAATAAAGCCTTTGATTGATGTCCAGAACATCTGAATCTGGAGCTCATAAATTATTAACAACAAGCAGCAAATCAGTGCTACAATTAAAAAAGAAGTCCTCTCAGTTTGCACACAATATTTCTTCTTCTCAATCGATCAATGCTATAACAATATTTGACACCCCACACCCCTTCACCATAATAAGTCTCTTAAGAATCTTTTAAGTCTCCATATACAGTCTTAGGGTGGATTTTAGTTTTAGGCAGTTCTCCATAAGATCCTGACTCAGCTTCATATCCTTCCACCTTGTGTCTTACATAGGGGTCAGCTATCCAGTTTGGATCCTGCGTAATAAAAGCATTTTCTTTAACTGGGACTATTTTTCAATGTCACTGGAGCCTCAGCCTCTACATTTAGAAATTTTAACCTCTGAAGTTTGTGCAATTCGTAGAGAGGCGGAGCCCTGAAATACATGGGTACTGCCCTAACTGGCCTCTCTGGAGCATTTTCAAGGTTACAAAAGGTGTCTAATTCATCTTCCTGTAAGAGTCGCCAGTCTGCCTTAAAAGCTGCCCCTGTGCCTTTGATGCCACGGTACTCTCCTCTGAACCAGGTATGAGCGTAAACCTTGCAAAAACGTTTTGTCTTTCCCTACAAAACAAAAGTAACAATGAGTAGTGCAGTTTGTTATAGAATATTATACATTTTCAGTCTGTGTGAGAGTGTGTGTGCCCGCTTGTGTGTATGTGTTTAAAAGTGTGTGCACATGTGTTAGTAGCACGAAAATTCATGCGTTAGCACTCCTATTGACGATTCTGATATGTACTGGCTGTGCTAACGCATGAAAGCAAAGGCCTCAAAAAGTTGGAAATGAAAACCGGTTGCCAAACCAGCCACGGTGCGACAGCTCTCAAATTTTTATTTTACATCTCAGTACTCTCCTCTGAACCAAGTATGAGCGTAAACCTTGCAAAAACGTTTTGTCTTTCCCTACAAAACAAAAGTAACAATGAGTAGTGCAGTTTGTTATAGAATATTATACATTTTCAGTCTGTGTGAGAGTGTGTGTGCCCGCTTGTGTGTATGTGTTTAAAAGTGTGTGCACATGTGTTAGTAGCACGAAAATTCATGCGTTAGCACTCCTATTGACGATTTTGATATGTACTGGCTGTGCTAACGCATGAAAGCAAAGGCCTCAAAAAGTTGGAAATGAAAACCGGTTGCCAAACCAGCCGCGGTGCGGCAGCTCTCAAATTTTTATTTTACATCTCATCTCCTCAACACGCACATTACTGTGAAGCCAACCAGCTTTCCCATCAACAGAGGTATTACTTCCTGAAATCCATCTCTCTATTTACCAGTTTGACCATCGTAAAATCATACACCCGCTATAAACTGGCGAAAATCAGTGGTGATTCATTGTGTTTTACCAAACTTAACATAGGTTGTAAAAACTAAAATCGGGATAAACTTCAAGCATTTTTATGATGTTCTTTTAAATACTTCTTAATTAGAGTTATGTTATGACACACACTAAGTTATCAAAATGCTGAAACTTCGAATATGTTTAAATCAACATGTACTTACGAAGTGTCGACTTAGATCCAACTCCACCTTAACAATCTTGTAAAATGAAGGCTCTGGGTATCTGAGCAGACTATTACGAATAACAGTTCTTCCAACACCAAAATTTTTAAAGTTTGACACAATTCCGTACAAAGTTTTTCCATGGAAATAGGTTGGATATCGCGCAACTAGCTTTGTAGTTTGGGCCATGTTTAACCAACACTTAATGCGCATGTGCAGAAGACGCTGGTAGGTACTTTACCTGAGGAAGCCTTAAGTAAGACTAAAATAAACAAAATGGCGTTCAAATTCAACATCATAGAAACATTTTTAAAAAAGTAAAGTAATTCAGAGCCCCTAGCTATTTTTGTTTAACTCAAAATATTTGTGATGTCTTAGTTTGCTTGTCGAGCAATGTCGTGCTGTGTACACTATACCAGTTTACGGTAGTAGAGCAGACTACACACCCTCATCCGACCTCTACATGTACTATCAGCTAGTATGTTACAGGAAAACGCAGAGGCATGCTGATAACAGAGAGGTTAGTTTTTAGAGAAATGGATATTCTCCGATTAAAAAAAGATATTTGGTCAAAACCCGTTTGAGTACAACGGAGCATTCTTTTTGTCAAAAAAAGACAAACATGAATTTGACTGTCCCTGGTTATGAAAATGTTGGTCAAAAGTTGGTCAAGTCAGAGGAATCCTATTAATTCTGCAGAATGACACAGAAAACGATGCACTGCACTAAAATGTCATTTCATCTATATTTTTCATCATAATTGCCTGAAATTTTCATTTTTGATAGAAAACAAGTAAATCCAAATTTACTCTTAAAAAAATCAACATTAAGACCCCATTCCCAGAGATTAGATCGATCCAAACTAGATCGACCTAACTCCCTGGGGGTTCACGCTAAATAGCTGTCAGCCGAGCGGGCACGAAAGTTAATTACCCCCTTACACCTTGTACGGACATTTAAGCCGGATTATCTGACAGTAATCTAGTGAGACTCCCCACGGGGATAGATCGATCTAAATGTCTGGGAATACGCCCTTAGTTGTCATACCACTGGTGTATATCTCAACCTTGCATTATTTTTCTTTTTCTAAATTATTACCATTGACTTAAATTTTCATGGAGTTCCAATGATATTCAATGCAGATATAATGCATAAATTTGAAAAGAAATAATTATCTTTCAAATAAAAATAACTATCGGTATCATTCGGAAAAGAAAAAGAAAGAAAGAAAAGAAAGTAGAAGTAACGTCTTTGCTGCAAAGTTTTATCCAAATTTCTGTTGCGAAAGCAATCTTCACTTAAAAAAACAACCAAAAAATGTTAGCATGGATCGACCCAACACAGTTTTGACTTTCATGTTGTCTGCTATGACTGTCCTGCATTAAATTGCCAAATTTTGAGATGATTAGTTAAAACTTGAAACTTGAACTATTTAAAAGTAAGTTAATATACACGGGCCTTTTCGGGTTTTCTGAGCCGGACGCCTGATTTTCGGTCCTTCTTTTCAGACCTAATGACCAGAAAAGGGTTAAGACAGCTGGATTTACATGCAAGACAGTAAAATAAGCTAAAACGAAACGTCCTTCCTTGGTGAAAAAAAAAATTCAGGCAAATGCTTCCGGGATTTCCAACAGTTCCATTGAAGGTACCCAACCCTCTTGCTGGAGCCAACTGTGTTGGTTCTTACATCGACAATACTGTTATTGACTTAAGAATTTTGCTTGCAATTGTCTTTGAAAATATTGAACAGTCATATAGAACTAGGGGCGCATCCAGAACACGTTGATCCGCGGACTAACAGATACGCTTAAACGCGTAAAGCCCTTACAGACACTGAATAGATTCCCCGCGGGGATAACACGGTAAGCTTTCAAATGAGTCGGCCTTTTTTGAACTGATGGTATTTCTTTCTATCTTAGATTGTAAATTGGCGGCTTGTTCCAGTCTATAGGCTACAAAAAGCAGCTATACAAAATGCTATGTCACCACACGTTTTTAACCTTGTTTTCTGGTAAAATTTTGTCACCATACCTCTGGGTTCTTTGAAGGTTATGATGTTTAACGAGAATAGTTATATGTGCTGAAACTATATAGATCATAAAATGCAACATGTGAAAAAAACTAAAAATTTAAATAAACAGTACTTTAGCCCTAACTGGTAACCAGTGCAGCTGCTTTGAAATAGGAGTAATGTGACAATCTGTTATTAAAAGTAGTGCCGAAATATTCTGTAATCTTTTTTTATCTTATTATCAGAATGTTCGTATAGTACATAATTGAATTGCAGTAGTCCAGCCTAGAAGTGACTACTGAATGTATAACAGTAGCAGCAGGTGATTGATTCAGATATTTCCTTATGGTGCCGATATTCCGGATATTAATGACACGACGTAGTAATGTTGGGTATCTGTCTGTCCACTGATATAGCGTAGAATCAAATTATACTATTTTTTTACATGGGGGAGGAAATTGCCATACTAGCTCCAAATTTTTAGTTGCAGGTTATGAGCAAGGACCTTATTCTTATGATTAAAAAATTATTTTTTCCATCAACATCTTTCATTTGCTTGAAAATGAGCCTCTGAGATTTGAAATGCAGTCAACAGTGGTATTCACTGACAATGCCGGATCATGGATCATGGATCTTATGATAACACAAAATACATGTAGGGTAACGTGTAAACACAAAAATGCCCTAAGGAACGCCAAATCAAATCTGTGAGAGTTAAAAAAACACCATTTTAAGATTTATATTAACTTGATACCCCTCCCCCCGCAAAAAAAAAATAATAATAAATAAATAAATAAATAATAATAATAATAATAATAATAATATAGTTAACGATCGATGACATTACCTCTAACCCTCTCCTCTGCTTAAGAAATGCTAGTAAAATATAATGGTCCAAAGGCAGCGGAAAATCTAACAGTGCCATTAACATAGCCAATTGTTTATCAACACCACTTTTAATTCTCAAAAGTGCAGATTCAGCATTATGATTGAATTTGCATTTCTTCAACCAGATTGTGTGCTTCTAAATAACAGTTATAACCCTCTCTACTAGCTTAGATAAAAATGACAAATTGGAGACATGGAAATAATTTACAAGATGTAAAGATCGTCCTTTTTGAGCAGCTGTCGTAGCAGATTTAAACGTATCTGGAAAAACTCCCAAAGTGAAAGATTTCTTGATTTCCACGATCAGATTTATGACCAGGAATGATGGTGGGATTGGATCTAACATGCTGGATGTCTTTCTGGAACCGTTTATTATCTTCATCATGCGGTTGTTAGTTCGAACATAGTTATGGGCTACTGCGGTTCTTGTAAAAGTTCTGACAGAGGTGGATGCAATGGCGTAGTCATTTTTTTTAGTGCTGAAAGCTCGGCGTTGATATTGCTGATTTAAGACACAAAAAGGTGAATGAGCATTGAGCGTCTTTGGACATGTCGTTCGATACTACATCCACCTTTACAAAGCGCAGATAAAGGTTGTTTAAAACATAATGTGTCCTCAAAAAACTGAACGGTAGCTTAATTTCACATTTCACCTTGACCTGTATTGGAATGGAATGTTGGGAATGTATATGAATTGTTAATTGCCTGAATTGCAACTTTAGATAGAAATAATGGTTCCTGAAACATGAAAATTTAAGGCAGTTCCATATTTCAGTCGAAGTCTACATTCGACATCCAGGATAAGATGTATTTAATAAACATTGTGTTTATCTTTGCATTATTTTAAAATTCACAATGCAGAATAAAGACATGGGGCATTTTTTCACATTTAAAACATGAAAATAGGAAATGGCATTCACCAATTACATTATAACTTATAAGTGTACTCGTCAAAATGCAAGAGTAATAAATTATCTCTGTTGTTAAAAGTGATTGCTTATGATATCTTTCATTTGGGCCCCTTGTGAACTCGTTGTAGCGTGATCCAAGAATAAACATACCCAGATATTAACTTTTATTGACTATAACTGGCAAAATCATATGAATTGAACGTATCCTAAAATATGATAGAAAAAGAAATTTTGATATCAAAATGAAAAAAGCTTTTTTTGGCCCTCCTCCAAGTTGTTATTTTTTACAAAAGGCCATAAATTGTTTCTTTCTAAACATTTCTGATGGAGAAGCCCCCCCCCCCCTGCATTGCACTGTATTGTTGGGAACCATCAGCAACTCTAAGATCGCATTCACAACGAGTTGAGCCAGGCTTTANCGCCTCTCACACACCTCCCCATGTGTCGTCCCAATGGAGCCGAAATTTAATGACTGTACCCCCGCAGGGACGACGCATGGAGAGGCGTGTGGGAGGCGGAGAGACTATTAAAAGATTAGGCGGTTTTTCTTTCATGTACGTCCGCCATATTTAGTCCCCAGGATTTGTAAAGCCTGGCTCAACTCGTTGTGAATGCGGTCTAAGCCAATCACTGCATGGTATTTGTCACAATTATATACATTGGTTGTCACTTGTATCTACATGTAAATCTGTTTGCGTCATGTGAGAACGAAAAAAGACGATGCTCTTGTAAGGTTTGAAAATATTCCGGCCTCATAAACGATAATCGCTAATTGTGACTTGGAGTAGCGGGTTTGTGATTGCAATCGCCGAAACAACGAAATGAACTTCGATCTCAATGTCAAATTGTAAGAACTGAACGGACAGGTGAAGTGGCTCCAAGTTTACAAACGACAATTTCGTTTATTAGGCCTGAATATTGAAGAAAGAAATTGACACCCCAGGAAATTTGAATTTTCTAGAGATTGAAGTTTTAAAAAAGGCCTTAAGCTCAGACCTTATTGTTTATGCATACAAATTAATATTCAAATTATTTTCAAAAATTTAAGCAATTTTTTCTCAGAAACAACTACTACTTAATTATATTTGGGGACAACAATCCAGTGACAGCGAAAATAAGACTGAATTATCAGCAACTAAATAAACCGAAGGCCAGGTTATCTGTTTTGCCTGGCTAACCTTGTATACATGTACCTGTAAGGGCACTTCGACCTGCGTCCTCGAAAACGTGTCGGTGGGGGAGCTTGGGTCATACCATGCATAATAGTTTTACGTTCTGCTACGGTTATATTACATATGAAAAGCAGATAAAGTCTAGGCCTCTGGCATCTCCTATTTCTTTGCTGTGGTTTATGGTTGACAGATTTCTTATAAGTTTACATACTGTATGTTTGTCTTTCCCACCTATGTAGGTGAGTGAACGTTTAGCGTCTTCGGGCACATCATCCGATATCACATTCATCTTTATAAAATCCTGAGTGCAGATAAAGGTTGTTTCAATCGTATTGTGTCCTCAAAAACTGCACGGTAGCTTGATTTCACATATCACACTGACCTGTATTGTGATGGAATGTTGGGAATGTAGGATCTACAGTCCATATGCGTTGTAAATTGCAACTTTAAAAAGAAATAATGGTTCCTAAGGCTTGTCCTGCTACCCTATAACGGGTGAGTTGTCATTTCAAAAATGACTGATTTCATTTTGCTGCCGCCCCTTATGTTATAAAAGAGTTTCCAAACACATCGCATCCGCAGGATAATACATGTATATACAACTGCTGCTCACTTCTGCCGATTTACTCTGAAGCGAGTTCATAGTACCCGGTCCAAACTGTGAAATCCAGAGGTTGTATCCCTTTTGTAGATAACATGGATAATCCCAAGGCTGTTGGCAGCGAGATATCGAAGTTTTCTAGAAAAACTGAATCCATTGCGGCACCAAAATCCTGGAAAGACGCAGAAACTCACTCAGTTGCAGCTATTCGCAGCCCTTGGTATCAAAACTTATTCCAAGTTCAGAACACTTTATTCCATACCACAGCTGAGTATTTTCATGGCAACTGTAAATACAGCTACGCCCTGGCTCCATTGACAACTCATTGTATTTCGTATCCAATGTGGTTGGGGTCGGATTCAGAACCAGTTGATATAAATTTACACGGCCAAAAGACTTACCTTGCAGATTCTATGCAATTCAACCTTGAATACTTTCTGCGTTTCCTAAATGGCTGTCCTGGGGTATACTGCTTGTCTCCAAGTTTCCGTGGAGAAGACCCAGATGCCACTCATCTGAACCAGTTTTTCCATGTTGAATGTGAATTACTGGGGAAAATGGAGAACGCAATCAATGTCGCTGAAGGTTACCTCTATCACTTGACAAAGAGCATGCTGCAATCTCACAGGGACTTCATCCTGGCCACAGCAGGGACAACAGGACATGTCGAGCATCTCATTGATACTATGGAGGCTGGGAAATCATTACCGCGAATCACACTGGACCAGGCCATCGCAATGTTTCCAAGCGAAGACTGTTATGAAGAGGTGGTCCCCGGTCGTAAAGATATGGGACAAAAGATTACCCGAGAAGGAGAACGTTTTTTGATAGAAAAATTTGGAGGGGTTGTCTGGTTGACAGAGATGGACCACATGTCAGTTCCATTTTATCAATGTTACACCGACAAATCTCGCCGAAAAGGTATGACCGCTGATCTTTTGATGGGTGTTGGGGAGACCCTCGGTCTTGGGGAACGTCATGTAACAGCCACTGAAGTTGGGCAAGCTTTAGAACATCACACCATACATCCCAAACCCTATGAGTGGTATATGGAAATGCGCAACGTGAAGCCATTGAAGACCAGTGGTTGGGGCATGGGATCCGAGCGTTATTTATGCTGGCTGCTCAACCACGATGATGTTCGAGATTTGCACATCATTCCAAGGAACAAGGGAAAGCAATATCTTCCTTGAAATTCACTGGAAAGATATGATGAACAGTAACCATTGGTAATGAAGAACAAAATGTTAACGCCTTTTAAATGCACGTTTACTTACACAAAAACTGGTTTGTAATTTTTTGTATAATTTGGTATATTTGTATTTGGTTAAGAAGGGTTAATACGTTAACAAGGTATTATAACATATATTAATACTAACAATATGGACAAGATAACATATCTTGGGTGATCATTTAATTTAATCATAATCAAGAGCCCCTATTGTAATATGCCAATTCTTCTTTGTATAAAATATAATTGTGTTAATTTAGTAGCAGAATTATAAAAATAGAAAAGAGCAAGGAGAGTAAAGCCATTATTACTGACGAAGAAGATAAATTACAGGAAGCAAAGCAGTTCTTGTTTTTTTCCACATTTTCGCTGATTATGAAAGTTTTACTGATCATTGAATGTTTTAATTTCAATCTGCCTAAAACGTGTAAATGTGAATTTTAAGAGGTTTGTATTGTATGAAGATAGTTGAAAACACAATCCTTGATTCTTTAAAAGCTTGAAAAAGGTAACGTTAACGAATGTTCTTATGCGTTTTATATTTGTGTAAAAGAAAAGTAATTTTGGCAGACGTTTTTAACTTTAGAACGTGAGTGGCCTCACACCACATCGACGGTAATAAAAACTTTACAAATAGTAATGCCAACGAAGAGTAGAAATCGATAATCAAATATATATTTTATTGTTGCCATAAACATCAATTATATGCATCTTTATGCTTCATTGTCGTGCTTAAAATTAAAATATCCTTGATCAGTTTAACTGATTTGACCTAATACATGATACTGATCCCATTCCACTGTAATTGTTGTATTTTATGGGCTAAGTCTAATAACTGTACTCTTAAAATGAAATACTTTTGTATGTCGAATAAGTATAAAATTAAGTACAAAGTAGATCTTGGTTGTTTGAAAATCCGGTTATTTAAGGTTTTTTGTTCGCCACATCACACCCGTTTAGTATTTATAGCACGTGCTACGCGGCAAACACACCCTATCAAACATAGGCGATGCCAATGAATACTTGGTATGAGCAGCATAAAGCATACAGCGCACAACTTAAAGGTCAAACCAAATTACAATGTAGAACGACCTGATACAAACGCGCCGTTCGTAATGTCTGATGGCACTTGTTTAACAAGTGTAGAAAGCGGTTCTCGAGTTCAACAGTTTATGTGTACTTTACAAGGTGCATTCCTTAGAGCTCAAATAATTTTTCTAATTTTTTTTCATTATTAAAATATAAACATATATTTACAAATGATAAATAACAATATAATACGATGTTTTATTTTTGAAAATGATACACTGAGCAAAGCGAACCCAGATAATGAGAATATTGATTCTATCACAAGTAGGTCACTGCACATGTACATGTACATCTAGACCGTGCACCAACTGTACTCAGGAGTCATTTGGCCGAGTACAAATATCAGGCAAATCTTTTCTGTCTTTTATACATAAATGAAATCATCTATAACCACGTCTTTTTGTACATGGTTTAAATTGGCTTCAGGTGCACTCGAGTCACCGTTGTTCTCATTTACTGATGCACTCGAGTCACCGTTGTTCTCATTTACTGATGCAGAACTTTTCCCATCCACGACGTAGTCTGCTTTGATGACATCTACATCTTGGCAGGGGGCAATTCGTCTTTGTAAATTAAGAGATTTGAAAATAATTCCTTTCTTATAAAGGAGCAATGTGCCTCCAAGAATAACGATGATGACCCCTACCACCAAAAGAGCTATACCGTAAGTTGGGATGATAGGCTCATTGGTATTCGGTTCTCCATATCGACTATTCGAATAGCCTTGTCGAACTGTTTCATTGGATGGAATAGTAACTGACACGTCAACGGGAGTAGAAACTTCGAATGAAAGTGTTGATTCACCATTGGTTACTGATGGGGTTGCGGTATTTTGTGTAGCAGCAATGGTATGGGTAGTGGCAGTAACGGTCGTGGCCTCCGGGTTCTTCGCCGTACCTGTTGTCGGCGCAACATACGCGGTTGTGGTGTCCTCGGTAGTCGTTGTGGTTTCAATACACTCACTGGGAACTCCATGTAACCTGTGGTCTATGGTACATTGGCCAAGGTTACCGGCTAAGTCCCCCGCGTTGATGTAAACTAGAGGGTTACAACAATCAGAGCTGAAGGAGAAAACGTTTGCATATTATGGCGGGCATTAAAATTTTGAAATTCTTTTTAGTCATTATTTTTGTGCGTGTTTCGAAATTACCAGTAAGCTCTTTCATTGAATTAACTGATGGGCTTCGACCGAGATACTCTCCTAACACAAGGTCATGACTTTTCTTTTGGTTGGCGACAACATGAGCATCATTATTTTTTAATTTAATCGTTACTTTTGACAGATCTTATTAAATTTTTACCTCACATTTACCATCACCGGGTTTGTAAGTGAAGACGCAGATGTGAAATTGTCGTAAGAAAACGCTGCAGAACTACTGTTAAGTTTTCCAGCGTAGATACGATGCAAGCCAAACCCAGTTTCGGTGATCTCAGCAGTCACGTGCCACAAGTGGGCGTGGCACACACAGGGATCCAGCTGCTCTAGCTGACATGGGCCAAAGGACGACAAAATGGTGCAGTTTGGAGCGGCATCATCCTCAACCTGAAATATTCATAGACTAGAATATATGGCATGGTAAAATATAATAAACCAAAATGCGTTGAATGTGCCAAAATATCGATGTAAGAATTGATAGTTGAAAAAAGATCTTTATAAAGACACCCATGTGTTCACATTCAGAGTATTATTTAGAAAATCTCCATTGATTTCGGTTAGAAATTTGTCTGAAAAAATAATTTTGTCTCTTTCATTTTCTAATTGCAACAAGTAAGTGCGACAGGTGTACCTCTTCAAGCCTCTCCCCGACAGATATCCGCCGTATTTTGTACTGAGCTGTTAAATTACCTCCACCGCTGGGCGCCACCGATATTGTCATCGTGCTACAAAAACATAAAAAGACACACTGTTTATATATGTATTTTCTTGATATAGACAGGTGTATTGGACATCACGTACTATATCCATAAGTATTTAAAGTAAAATTGCAAATACATAAATGAAGATGGCTAAAATAAGCGAACGTAAGTATAAAACAAACTGAACTTCTGGAAAACAAGTGAGCGTACTTTTACAATACACTAATGTGAAATATACGATATCTGTATTCTCTCATACATGTCGGAAACTGAAGATCGTTTTTTATCACATCAGTTTAAGTAGGGCTAATGTAAAACTTATTTTCACCTTGTTACGTTTGGATCAATACCCCCATACAGGGTGAAAGAACCAGTCCTATTTTCATATTCGGATAGGTAGAACACTGAAAACGCTGATCCAGTGACCAAATGTTCAGTGTCGAGGATTGACACATTAAAGTTGCCTGCTGGTCCAGTATTGGTTACTGTATAATTTACATAGACGGTTTCCCCAGTGTATAAGGCTGAAATATAGAGGATGAATTTTCATCAGTTGACTTTAGAATGGGCCAAAAGGATTGGAGTGCAAAAAAAAAAGAGCAATCTCTTTATGATGATTTAGCAAAATGTCCCTTATTCGTCATATTTATTATAAAACGGGTGGTTATGTAAATGTAATGCAGAACCCTAACAACATTTACAAAAAATTATTATCTTTTATAAAAATAGCAATTAGCTTTTATAGCACACTGTAGTACGGTAAGCGCATTATGATGATGGCACACCAGACGGTTTATTTGCCATGGTATAGGATGGACCTGAGGTTTACTTACCTGGTATAGGATGGACCTGAAGCTTCAGTCCTACTGTTTTAACCATGGCAGTAGACAGCCTTGTAAATCTATACCCTCTGCTGTCATAGCCCTCGATGGCCAGACGAAAACTCTGAAATTGTCAGTTTCTAGATTATCTACATTCTTAAATTGCCTTGATACTCCCACCCTAATTGAGAGGATGATGTCCTTTAAGAAAAGCGCTACTTATATTCAGATGAAGTGGTTAAGTGAAAGAGTTTTCTAACAGGGAATACTTCGTATAGAAATATACCTGCTATACTTCAAATACCGCTCATAAAATTGGTCGGATATATTTTCGAAAAGTATTCAAATTACTTTTCTTTTCTTTTTTCAAACAGTTGAAAAAATAATACCTCTGACGGTAGAACTTCCGTTGCAAAATAGTAGTTGCGCAGTTGTTCACCGCCCCTGAGGGGCCATATTTCACTGGCGGTATTACCATTCTCATCTTGAAGTTTTACTGTTGTCAAAGAATTATTGTCGTACACATCGGTCACCCTGATCAGAATAGATGTGTTGACTCCTACAAAAACGACAATATTTGTGATGCTGTTGCATATGAAAAACTATGGTCTTAATAAGCCGGATATGGGCCAGTTCAGTAAACAAGAAGTTTGTGGATTCGATAATCTATTTTATTTTCGATTTCCTCATACAAACGTTCTGAAAAATACAGATGCATGACATACCGGCTATTGGACGTCCCGTGGCAGCATACAATGTGTCAGTAACTTCATCTTTTTCCAGGAAATCATAGAGAAAATCCAGCATACTCTGCCCAGTTATGTCCACCTGCCAGCTCTCTACTGAGGACAGGCGCTGATATGACCAGATTCCTGGCAGAGGGTTCTGAAAGTTAACGATTTTGTATATAATTTCTAAGATATAATGTGCCAAAAGGGCACATCTAAAACAGGCCTATCATGTAAATTTTTTTCAAACAATGATTTCTATATTCGGCATGATTTAGCCATGAGCAGAGATTCATGTAAGATCATGTACTGCTCTCTGTATTAACGATCTATTTCATCGACGCACGAATATTTGGCTAGCAGAAAATGTTGTCTATCTAATATCCAACATTTGAGTCAAATTTCAAAGCGGAAAGAAGATAAAAGGATGAATTCCAGATGAAAACGCACGCCCTGTTTATTATTACATACAAGATGCAGAAATTTGAGTCAAATATATACTTTTGGTAAGACAAAGCATTCTGGTATCAGAGATAACTCTATAGTATCCATCTATTCACAAGAGTTTTGAGTTACAAATATGGAGTTACCTTAAACGTAAAAACTTTGGCATATGGTCCTAGGCTTGTAACGTTAAAATCACTGCCACTCATTGGATGAGAGGTTCCTGCAGTAGGCAAAACAGAGTTTATATGCAGTATTCTATTCGTAACAAAGAATTTGTTAAACCTTACCTGAAATAAATACTACTTAATGTTTACGACCCTTTCAATGTTTGATCTTACAATTAAATTACATTTCGAACAATTTGAAAAAAAAGGGCATCTTTTCCCAATAAAGTATATACAGGAAAAACTTTATTTTCCGTGCTTTTTCCCTTACCATCGGGCAGGAAGACGCTTATAGAGGGTGTATAAGAAGAGCCCAGTATCTTAACAGATAGTTCACTTAATTGGCTGTCCACCGTGAAATTTCTGGAACTGTCATCGCTGATGAATCGTGTGACGCTTACAGTGGCTGTTTTTGTAGCTTCCTGTGTTAAAACGAAAAGTATAGTATATAAAATGTCTTTACCAGGAGGAACATATACACACGTAAAAATAATTTCCAATGCTGTTGGCTTTAGAATTTATTTTGCTTATCCACTGGTCAATGAAGTTTTCAGTTAAACAATTTTGTAAAAGTCCTTTCCACTACAGTTTTCCATACCTGAATAATACTAACAACACTGCTTATATGAGTGTCATCTGTTAAATACACGGTCCCTCCAGTGGCCTCTGCTAATTTCGTATACAAACTAGGTGGCGCGAAGAGAGCACGTTTCTGTCTGGACCTTTTACTGTTTTCTTAAACACAAGACATACAATATGAAACAGCTTGGAACATGTCTACGACTGTAAATGCCAACAAAGTATTATCTCAATCAAAATACAAATAAGCTAGCATTTTGTCTTCTGGGAGTGAGAATGAAGTCATAAAAAATGTACAGCGTAGTTGTTCTCTAATATAACATCACCATATAGGAACTTTATATGCTATTTTCAAACCGATTTTGATATTTCACCTTTTTACTAATTTATTTATTTATTTATTTATTTATTTGTTTATTTAAGGGGGTCTTTATGAGAGGTGCAAATTAAACAAGCAAATGTTTTAATGTATTTAGAAAAAAACCTTGCAAACTGCGCCTCCTTCTGGCAATACATCCTCTTGTCAACACCGTCTCAATCTTAATGTTCTTGTCCAGGGCACGTTGTTCAATTTCTCCCTCCCTGTCTGCGTCTTTTGCAGGAGCATCCGTGTAAAAGTATATTGTGGAACCAGGCTGAGATACTTTAATGGCTGAAGGTGAAAAGCCTATACATTTTTTTCTTTCTGCTTGTATGCCAAATATCATGTCAAACAATATATCTCAATTTCCATTATTCAATATTAATGAATAAATGTGTCATCTCCAAAATCTTTTCAATTCTATGGTAGCTTATTTCCGAACTATCCTAAAAATATATCAAAATCTGTCCATAACTTTTGGAATTAAGTTAACTGTAAACTGTAAATAAAACAACAATGGCAAAAAACACGACCTCCTTGAGGGAGGTAAATATACTTCGGGTCTACCTGTATAATATAAAGGAACCTAACTCTAATCAATAATGCACTAAATATATTAGAAAACCAAATATGGATTGTTCATATGTGTTGTTGAAATAATTCTGAGAACGTCAAATTAAGTGCAACTAAATATCTGCTAACGCACGTGTGTAGTATTTACAAACAATTATTTTTTGGGATAAAGCTTTATTTTGGAAAGATAAAAGGACATTCTCCTAAATACAATGCCTTTTACTTTCAATTGAAATTCAAACAACTTTTACTCGCCTTCTGCCAGCCCATACATAGCAAGCTCTGGGCAGTCACCTCCGCCGTGAGCATACAGATTTTGCAACGCGTCTATCATTGCTTCGGAGTCCTGGGTAATTGTTAATTCTCCCTTTGGTGTACTGGGATCACCTGAAAATTTTTAAGTTGCCATATTCTTTACTGATATGAAGTATTCAAAGGCATTCTATCCAGGGTTTTCCCGCCAACTCGAATTTTCCTTTAAAAGTTTCTCTTACTCTCGAATCATTGCACTGATATATACATATTTTTGGACGCAAAATTCTTTATATGCAAATCTCAATCTGGAGCAGATATACGTAACTACTATTTCAAATTCTGACGAGAATGCTTAAATTTTTCTCCTGGGTCCTCTTAAACTATTACACGTTGTGCCACCACCACCACCCCATCCCCGCTGCTTCTGACTTACTTGGGTCATTAAACGTAGAAAGAATATAATTAAATGGGGCTCTAACTGTTCCACGCGTAGTTTCAACGAGTTTGATACATTCATCTTTTACTGCATCCATCTCATCCGCCATGGAACCGGTGTCATCAATAACAAACACCATCGATACCATTGACCCAATTTGGAAGAGCTCTTTGAATTTCTGGTCTCCTATCAGTGTTCGAAGCCCCGTGACTGAAACAGAAACAAACCCGTTATCAATGCTTACTAATATTCACATATTTTTATCTGTCGTATGATTTAACCTTTTTTTTTCAGAGTTAACCATGTAAGTGTTATCATGCATACAGTATAACTCTACGTTCAGGTTGTATCATACACGTGCAAACACATGCATCCAAGGGGATGCTATGTTTCACAATGCAGTTGACAATATACTCTCTACCAGAGGCTTGCTGAGTAATAATGTCATTTCGGTACAAAGTTTCTCGCTGGACAGAGATATATCTGTAAATATCTAGTGAATTTATTTCTCTTTGACTCTGATACGCAGGGTATGGAAAGAACATTTAGAAATTGCATTCATATATATCAAAGTCTTAGATTTACCGTTGAATGAAATATGCCTTTGATTATTCAATAACTAAATAAATAGTCCTGTGATTTATTTTTAGTATACATGTATTTTTGTCTTCCATTCCAATTAATAAAAAATTAGTAACGCTTATATCTGTTCAGTGGAGGCGGACTGTTTGCAGAAACCAAGGTTTTCAATGTACTCTAAACAAGGAAAATGGTGAAAATTTTGAAGCACAACAGTTAAGTTAGTATATAAATTAATCGGCGCATTACATTGTATTAAAGAAAATTCAATCCAATTTTAAAATCAAAATATTTAGACCCCTCCCCCATCGGTCATTTTCCGATTCTTTTCAATCAGTTATTATTAATTGTAACATGTAAATGTTAACCATACAAAAATCACATTTTATGCTGCTAGGCAAATACCCTGTACATGTACCTACGGTAATACAATCTTAAAATTGCCCAAACAAATCAAATTAAAACCCGGTAGAATGTGTGAAACCATACCTGGGTCGTCTAAGAAAAATTCTACATGTTTATTAGCCGCGGTCGCTGCCTTGTCGTGATAATAATGATGCGGTGATTTTTTTGGATCTTTGGTTTCTTTGTTGATGCCCCCCTTAGGCCACATGATCCTGGTCAGATCAGATGCTCCACCATGGCTGCACTTTCCATGTTCTTCTGATGGCCAATAAAATAGAAGTTAAAGGGGTCTCATTGACTCCAGTTTTAAACTCTGGAGTTTTTATTTATTGTCAATTTATTTAGCCAATTAAAAAAAATCTAAAATGAGATGTTATTACTCTGTACATTAGTGGCTCTCTCTTTGGTGTTACAAGCATGTTTTATTTTAACAAAGAATAATAATCATTCTTCTAATTATTAACAGAATAAAAAATTAACCCAACAAAATTAAATAAAAAATTAAAAACTGCCCAGATATTCAGCAAATAATGTTTTCATTTCATCTAAGCGATTTACGCTTACCTGGTTTACCAGTAGGGTCTCCCATACTGTAAT